CTTTCCAACCGATTCTTGTCCAAAATGCCTACCTTATACATCTAACGTTAGAAATCGGCAAACTCTTCAACGCAATTTCCACGAAGTCATGAATCCGCTTGTTGATCTTCGCAATTGAATGTAAAGTTTAACCGGGGTGGGAGTTTAATATTCCCTAATACCCTTGTTGATCTTCCCAATTCAATGTAAAGTTTAACGGGGGTGGGAGTTTAATATTCCCTAATACCCTTGTTGATCTTCCCAATTGAATGTAAAGTGTCACGGGCCTGGGCGTAGTAGTAGTAGTAGTAGTAGTAGTAGTAGTGGTAGTGGTAGTAGTAGTAGTAGTAGTAGTAGTAGTAGTGGTAGTGGTAGTGGTAGTGGTAGTGGTAGTGGTAGTGGTAGTGGTAGTGGTAGTGGTAGTGTTAGTGGTAGTGGTAGTGTTAGTGGTAGTGGTAGTGGTAGTGGTAGTGGTAGTGGTAGTGGTAGTGGTAGTGGTAGTGGTAGTGGTAGTGGTAGTGGTAGTAGTAGTAGTAGTAGTACTAGCAGTCGTAGTAGTAGAAGTAATAGTAATAGTAATAGTAATAGTAGTAGCAGTAGTACTAGTAGTAGTAGTAGTAGCAGTAGTAGCAGTAGTAGCAGTAGTAGTAGTAGTCGTCGTCGTAGTAGTAGTAGCCGTAGTAGTAGTAGTAGTAGTAGTAGTCGTCGTCGTCGTCGTCGTCGTCGTTGTCATAGTAGTAGTAGTCGTAGTAGTAGAAGTAGTCGTCGTCGTAGTAGTAGTAGTCGTCGTCGTCGTAGTAGTAGTAATAGTCCTCATAGTAGTAGTAGTAGTAGTAGTAGTAGTGGTAGTGGTAGTGGTAGTGGTAGTGGTAGTGGTAGTGGTAGTGGTAGTGGTAGTAGTAGTAGTAGTAGTCGTAGTAGTAGTCGTAGTCGTAGTGGTAGTGGTAGTGGTAGTGGTAGTGGTAGTGGTAGTGGTAGTGGTAGTGGTAGTGGTAGTAGTAGTAGTAGTGTAGTAGTAGTAGTAGTACTAGTAGTAGTGGTAGTAGTAGTAGTAGTAGTAGTCGTCATAGTAGTAGTAGTAGTCGTCATAGTAGTAGTAGTCGTAGTAGTAGTCGTCGTCGTCGTCGTCGTCGGCGTGCTTGCGTTACAAACAGTCGCACCTTCTCTTGCCTCTCCCTCCTGTCTTTTCCCCCCTACCTTTCGTCCCCCCCTCTCAAGTTATAGTTGTTACACCTACTGCTTCACCTTTGTTGAGATCTCCTGATGAGAAGCTACGCTGAGTCATTTGGCCTCAGTCAAATAGAAATCACCAAGAAAGATAGGTGAATCTACAGTCCATGTTCTACGGAAATTCCAGCATGTTTGTTGACCAGGGGGTGCTACTCTTCTGTCCCCAGTTCATACACCACTGGCCCACATGAGTTCATATATTTGTTTGTTTTAAACCACTAGTCACTAATAGCAGGCATGAAAAGGTATCAAATAAAAGCTGGCATGTCTCCGAGCAAATACAGGAAGTCTTCCATCTTTGGCCGCGGTGTCATTGAGTGTCCATTGTCTATGTTCAATCCCCCTTTCAGCGCAGATCCTATCGCAGATCCCGACGCTTCAGCAGATTAACGGTCTCTTGCTGTAAAGGGCAATGGTGTGGTTGCCTCACATGTTTCCGTTTGGTGGGAACCTCGGTTAATAATGGTTAGTAGCACTAATAAGATCCGATAGGACAAGACGATATTCGGAAAGGTACAGCTTCAATGCATCGGATTTGGATGTGGATCTCAGTTAAAATATTCCTGGCGGGAAGCCAGGAAGCCACTTAAAATCAGCCAGGAAGCCAGTGGTATCGAATTGACCTTCAGTGCAGTCAGCAGGATCCGTAGCCAATCCATAGCCCTGCTTTTTGTTCCAAGGAGTTGACATGAGTGCCTTCAAGGTGCATCTGACGGGTTGAGTGGATGTTTTGTGCAGAAAGACATCGCGTTCCGGGGTTTCTAAGTTTCCCATCAATCATAGTTGCTGGTTTGCGCAGTGATTTCAAGTATTTTGGATTTTCAACCCTGCCAATCGGACGATGATCCCAATTGACTATAACTCATAGATATGTTTCTTCATGATAGATGATAAGGGATGAACATGGCGAGGAGACATCGATGTTTCTATATGGAACCATCTATAATCACCATTCCCCTTGAACATTGACACCATTTGTCCCATGTGTTTTTCCCCATATGTTTCCCATACCTCGTAGATCCTCGTAGGCCACATCTCGATGGCTGATCCGAAAGGCTCCGCCTCCAGGCCACCACCGAAGAGCTGGACTTCTCGGAGACACCAGTGGTACCCTCCGGCTCGGTGGCCGCCATCATCGCGCGCACGGTGCCGGGGGAAGATTGGATTGAGGTGATTGATGATATATACTGTTTATTTATATATATTTCTATATTAAATGAATATATATATATATATTTATGTGATCTTGGCTTATTGTTTTTTTTTATGGGAATTATTTGAGTTTCATTGGACTAGATTGCTGTAAATGTAGCCTATTTATGTGTATATATATATATATTGCATGTATATTTGTATACTTTTCTGTATTTGGTAACCCCCCCATCATACCTAAGCCTCAATTTGGGGGGGAGTACCATATATATATATATTTGGTGCTATTATTGTTTTCCCACGATGAGATAAATGCATACTTGCAATACATCACATAATCTACATATATGTGTATGTATATATATATATACGTGGTTTCAATGAGGAGAACCATTCGGGTTTTGTGTAACTACACTATGTTCAGGCCCATGTGGATTAAGGTGGGTATGTGAGCTAAGTATAAAGTTTGGCTCCTTTTGATTGGTCACATGTGTGTTTTTCTTCCTCGCCTATACTGGATGATGAGCTCAACAACCAAGTGATACAGTATGTCTTTGATTTGGGCATGGAAATTCCTCGTAGATGGTGGGGTTTTGATCTAGATTACCAGAGGGTGGACCACCATTGGATATATAATGATATATATATATATATATATGACGAACATTTGACAAGACTTGGGTAGTTTGATTTACCTCTCAAACGGAAACTTTGCGAACCACGCACACCAAAAAAGGATATTAAAACATCTAAAAACAACAATCAACAAACAAACGTCCCAGATGTTGATAGTTTAATCCCAAGTTTTTGGGACGCACACGCTTCTTCATGTTGAGCCAACACAGCACAGGTGCTGACGCCCAAGTTGCAACGGCTGAACCTATCCAAATGCACTTTGGCAGCACCGAAAACCTCTTTGGGAGGTCCTTAATCGCGAGTGAAAATAGGCTTAGGTTCACCTTGAGCCTTAGATAAAGATGTTTAAACTGTTCTTATTTGTTTTTCAATGAGGCAAAGTTGCCAGCTACAATGCAGTTGTTTGGTAGGGTAACTAAGAGCCATGGGCCAGGATGGCATTGGCTCTTCTATCATGGTAGCCCTGGTCGCCCAACGGACGCCGCAAGGCAACCTGACGAGCAAGTCCCACGTGCATCCCTTGACCCCCGTGGTGGGGGGTTCCAGTGGCATCGGTTGCAACGGTGGCTGCGACTGCCGGACCTTTGAGGCGACGTAGCGACGTAGCCGGGTAATTTATGACTGGGCCTGGGCTGCCAGGGTTTACCACATTTGGCAAATCAGGTGGTAGAAGATAGGCAGAAGATGGTGAAATAGTATAGGAGATCCTAGACATGGTAGGGGCAGTAGGATCCAACTGTTTCCAGAATGTTGATGGCTGACCTCAAATCTGGCCATGGCCGCGTCACTGGTGCTTTGTTTCAGTCCTGGTTTGAGTGTCGGCTCGGTTGCAGGGGACCAATGCCTACAAACACTGCGCAGATTGCGATCTGGACTTCTGTTCCACCTGTTGCATGTCCCAATGTCCCATGCAGCTTGGCATAGCTTCTCCAAGTTGGGCAGTGGCGAATGGAGAGATGATGAGAGATGTTTTTTCCAACGTTTCAAGCCCGATTTCAAAACTTTAAAGCCCACAAGGCCCACAAGTGATGGATCTACATGCACTTATTTATCAAGTTTTCCCACCATTTTCAGGCCCTGTATGTAGTGACTCTTAAAACCGCAAACATCCCAATCCCAAGGGGTGAAAGTCAAAATGGACACGGCAGTGCATGGTTCATTTGCTATAATTATTCTGAAGGTCTGATTGTGGACATTGATTCTTCCAATGTCTTTTTTGCATGTTCAATTTCTCACGAATTGCCATTCATAGAATCATAGACCGGTTAGTAGCCTTACTTTGGTTTTAAACAGTTTTGGTGGTGCCACCAACTTCACAGACTGGCTTTGATCGTGATTCGCCATGTCCAACAGATTTCATGTGGCAAATGTTCGCATTCTGTTTGGCGGAGGGGAGTTTTGGAAACTAAACTAATACCAACTAATTACCAAATATTACATGCATGGGAATATAAGTAAACATCTAACTAAGATTGACATACAGCAAAACATTATATATATATACACATGTATGTATCAAAAGTTCCCCCTTCCATCCCATTCCCATTTCTAACTAAGATTTAATATAGCAACTTCTTGCAATTCAGGATTGACTTGGCCGAGTCCTTGGAGAGGCTGCCGCATTTGGTATCTTTGAAGCTCTCAGAGTGCTCCTTCCAAGGCTGGGCTTCGGGGGTCATATGTGGTCGGTGAGGCTTTGGATGGAGATCCGGGGGACCCAGGGCACCCTGAGGGAACTGATTGAGATAAGTACAGTACGCATCAGTACGCCAATGATCCATGATATTCCATGATATTCCCATGATGATTTGAGACATTTTAGACGATAGGCATAGAATGTCGGACTTTGGATTTTGAGGGGTGCACACTTTGATCCCGAAATCATGGCGGTTCCAAGCACTTGGATTGGCCCATGGCCAGACACTAAGGTGGCAGAATGGGCCCCGTCCGTTCGCACTTGGATATTGAGCCTCGCTTTTGTCCGAATGGTGCGATTTCGGACAGGGACAATGCAAGATGCAGTGACGTCCAGTTTGTTTTTCTCGGACATATTGTTTGGTTCCTTGTTATTGTTGTTGTTCTTGTTGTTGTTCTTGTTGTTGTTGTTGCTGATTGTTATGTTGTTTATTAGTTGTTGTTCTTGTTCTCTTTTTGATGCTGCTGTTGTTGCTGGTGGAATCGTTTCGATCCTCTCCACCGTCTTATACTGTTGGCTTTCCATTCAAGCAGGACATTATCAGATTTAGCGGGCCTCTCCCTGGCATGGCTCTAAGAAGCCTCCACGCTTCTGTGCTTTATATTGCTTTATGTTGTTTCACGGGTCTTCACAGATTGTTTTTTATGTTTTTTTTAAAACCTTGCGTGGAAGTAACAGTTTTGAGGTAAACCAGAAGGGTGCGTATTCGGGTCGCCAAGAAGGGTCAGGGCCACGTTGCCCAGCTCAGCGTCATCCGAGGATGGATATCAAGTGCTGGGTGAAGCCTTAGCTCGACATCCGAATATCACAGAGCTGGATCTCAGCAAGAACTTCTTCCAAGGTGGGGGGTATGCCCTGCGGCTGTCTCCATTTGAGGCATGTACAGTATATGTTTATATATGTATATACAAGCATACCTATAATTATGGCATATATAAATATATGTATAGGATATGATATGATATGATATTTCATGATATGATATGAATATAGAATAGTTATCTTGTTTTACAGTATATACATGTATATACAATTTTTCTAGGTATCAACTATCAACATAAATAAGTGGCTGCATAGACATAGATAGACACATAGATATAGAATGATATACACATAGATAGACACATAGATAGACACATAGATAGACATTATATAGTCCTCCACCCTTGGCATGATGCCAATAGCAATTGCCGGGCGTATTTCAGGTCAGGGATTTGCGTATTTGCTACGTGGGGTCGTAGAGATGCAGGTGGCATGGGTGGGTTTCAGGGCGTTGAGTTCAAGAACCGGGGATGGTAAACATACAAAAAGTTATTGAAAATGGCCATTTATAGTGGATTTACCCATTGAAAATGGTGATTTTCCATAGTTATGTTAGTTTACCAGAGGGTAGTTGCAGAACTTGATTTAGTTTCAATTTGGCGGTAATAAAATTCCCTAGATTTGGGATGAAAGAACTTTCGATGGATGTCAGCAGGGGACCATTTTCATACTTTTCATGAGGGGAGTGAACGCCAAAGCTGCAAAAGGCTTCTTCGGTCTCATATATCATTTTCAAGCACTTGGAGTTATGGGGCGAAAGGAGTTTGACGAAGAACTGGAGAAGTCGAGAAGTCCAACTTGTGGAAGTGAAGCAGTTGAGAGTTCACCCTGTCTTATTCTTTAAGACAGGGTTAGATTATGATAGATTAAGAATATATAGACATATATTCAAGATTGTTATATAGTATATTATATGGGCATATTTTGTATAAATGGGTATAAATGATGATGGCCGCATATGGTCACAATTTGACCATTCAATTTCGTGGCCATGGCTTGGTAGCAATCCATTGAGCCCGAGGTCTTGCACAGCATCACTTTGGGAGCTGAGGCCTTGCGCCTCCTGGCTGGAAATGGTATAATCGATGATACCCTCTGGTAATTTAACGTAGCTATTGAACATGACAATTTATAGTTGATTTACCCATTAAACATGGTGGTTTTCCATAGCTATGTTAAATTGCCAGAGGGTATAATACATGATTATACTTTTAGAAACTACTCAATCCAAAACTGTAGATTTAAACTGATTTAAGTGATGATCTCTATTGATTGTCGCAGTTTCAGCACATGTGGCAACATCGTTCTATTAAATTGATGCATGAAGAATTGATATGTGTTTCGTTGGGTACTGAGGTTTTCAGGATTTCCTGACTCTGGAGACTTTGGAGGCGCGGAAAAAACGGTGATTTCGTGGACATCGGATTGGGGATTGCTGGTGAAGATGTGACTGCAGTGCTTGGTGTTTTGTGTGAAAAGATGTTGATGTCATTGGGTTTGAAACATACAGTGCTTCTGTAGCTGCGGTTGTTTTCAGCGGTATAGCAATATGATGTCCATCACATGTTCCTGGTTCCAATCGCCATGCAAGTCCTACATCCTGCATTTTCTTGGGCACCAAGATCAGAAAATTAGAATCAATCGAACTAGTTTAAAAAAAGCTAGATCAACAATAAACCTGCATTATTTCATATATATATATATACATAATATTGATATATTTTGACATATTAACATCAACATCAACCTTGGAATGACTGGGACCAGTTTCAGAATGCTCAAAACGGCCCACCCACGATGGATGGATTTCCATCCCAGGTGGGGGAGGAGTGGCTCCCTGTGGAGAGTCAGTTGCTGTGCATGGCCATTCGCACCTCTTCCTGGATGTGAGAGAAAGAAACCATGCGGTTTTACCGGGAAAACTGGGACTGGATAACTTCAAAACCATTCAAAGCCATTCAAAACCAGTAAACATCAGGGTTTCACCAGCAAACGTGGCATTGGGAGTCTTTTTTCCGCCCAAGGCTTCAATAGAGGTTTAACAGTGTTTAGCAGCTTAGCATAAGTATATCGGCACTACCTGGTTGGATTGGCAATGGCCATGGGTGCGGAAAAGAATGCAAAGAGCTCCAAAGCATGGCATTGAAGGGCTGCCAGAGGTCCACCTTGAGACTCTCCGTCATAAAACAATTCTATAAGTGCATGTATGCCTATATGTAATTATATATTTGATATATGTATATTATATAGTATATATGTATTTCATATTTTCACACACACATAGATATATTTATATATACGACATGTATATGTATATTTGTATGTATGATGTATGTATTCAAATGTGTATTGCGTCGATTTGCAGATCACTAGCGCTGCATTCTTCATCGGATCACCAAGCGTGAAGCCTTCCTGATCCCATTTCTGGCTAGAGGAAAGCACCATGAAAATCAGCAGTGGTCGAATGCGAAGAAGCCATGGGAACCCCAGCAAAAATGTGAATCCACAGGAATCCACCGGAATTTTCCGAGCGAACATTTCCATTTTTGCTACTGATGCTACTGGGAAATCAGGTCGAAATTCTCGACTTCGTCAGCTCCATTTGTCCAAGGAGACGGGGTGGCAGATCTGGGGCGATCCTATGTCGCTAAAGACCGAAGGAGCCTTACCCCCAAAATTAACGTTTCGTGCATCTAGTATGACTCATACATTCTCTATAATCAATTTCTGCGAGAAAGGTTTGAGACTTTGAGAGATGGTTTCCAAGAAGGTAGGCGGTGTGTATTGAAAATCATCTTGATCTCTTTGTCAAATCATGTTGAAACAGATCAAGATGATGTCCCATCTTCTCAGGAACTTCACTCTGGATCTGGAAGTTCATGTTCAAAAATTGAAGTATTCCTGGGTCCATATTCCTTTCTTGGGACCATGTTTTTCTCCTGAAAATAGCTCAAACCCAAATCCAAGGTTTATGATTTATCATCATGTTCCCAAAATCAAATGGGTCAATTTTGGAGTATATAAGTATATTCCAAATTATAGGCCATTTATAGACAAACCTATATTGCTAGTCCCAACTGTCTCAACATTAAAAGCCTCGATCCCTAAACCGGTCGTAGGCGCAGGCGGACTTGCGCATTGACAGCGTCAAAGCCTTGGTGGAGAGCGGCTTGGTCGATTGGGGAATGATGGGGAATGGGTCATCCGTTCATTATATATATATACATACATTCCCAATGTGATAAGATGTGATAAGGGTCTAGAATCTAGAATCTAGAACATATTAGAACGTATATCCAGTATAAGGATTGTATACCCATGATGGTCATCAATCCAATCACTGACTCATTAATAAGTTATAAGGATTTCCCTTGTGATGGATGATCCGAAAACGTACAACATGTTTTGACCATGGGCCATGTTTTGACCGACCCACATCAATGACATATAATGCCCGTCCCAAAAAAGATAGCAACATCATGCAATTTGCCACTAAACTAATAGTCTAGTAAAGTTTACTTGTTCCATTCATTTTTCTGGGGGCCGCCGTAATCGTTTTTCCTGTATGGGAAAATATCGTGCCCGGTCAACACTTCTATCTACAGCAGGATGCACACGTGCCCTGAAATCAATCCGTTGACATTGAGTACCATCCGTTTGTTGGGGTGGACCTTTTGCAGTTTTGAGCCGACTTGAATGGTTGATATATATATATATATATTATATATATATTTATGCATATATGCATACTATGTTATTGGGAAGTAGCTTAATTTCTGATCCGCATGCTGGTGGCAAGCCCGGATGATTTATAATATATATATATACACACACAGTTTTTCCTATTGTCATTCCAAACCACTCTGATTGATGCAACCGCAACATTCACCCCATTCCAAACTGGCCAGACATATGGTGATGCATACAATTTTCCGTTGCTCCTTAGCTCCAATATATATATATACGTAATATGTACATATATATATATATTTTTATGCATATATATATATATATATATTTTTATGCATATATATATATATATATATATCGAGCTCCGGCAATTTGGTTGTTTGAAGTTCCATCGTTTTGGAAGCAAGCTCGTCCCTCTCCAACATATGTATGATCCGCGATCCCAGTTGCATGCTTCTTTTGGAAGGGTGTTTTACTTCAACTACCACTGCTGGCAAGCAAACATCTATCTCTTGACTAAAAAATCAGCATCCCAACTTTTGTAGTTCTTCACATCCTTCCCTAACATGCAAAAAAGTCACGTTTTTTTTGGTTCTCCTCAATCCCGTTAACTACTGAGTTGGTGCACGGTGGTTGGCAATTGTGAGAATCTCCCAGGTTGCGATAACGGTGATAAACGTGCAGTCTCGAAAGGATGATGTTCCCAAATGTTTCCCATATATCCCAACTATAAATAAATAAATATATATATATAACTATATACACACGTATATATATATATATATACACATACGCGTGCGTCTGTGTGTGTTCTCTATATTAATAATCGGTATAGGTATGCTTTACAATTTGTTCAGGGGGGCAGCTCAAGCCCTTCCGTTGACTCCTGATCGAGGTTTGGAGGCCCTGCATGTTCAAGGAACCATGCTGGAGCCTGGGATCAGGTGGAAAAAAATAGTCATGGGCTGGGACGACATTTTTTTGTATGAGAGCAACTCCCCCATTTCAACAGCAGAGTTTATGATATAAGATAAGGGATTGACACTAATATAAATGACTAGATGGATTGAGATTGTTAGCCTTTGTGGTTAGATGGGTATACCATTTATCACCCGAAAAGTTCAACTTTCTTGCGGATGGGAGGAGTTAAACGCACCGGGGTTCCAGATTGAGCTGTTAGCCACATCCCACAAGGAGAATACGATATTTCACCACCAAAATAATGGGATGTAATATGATGTAATTTTGTAACCCCAATGCCGTAAAAGCTACATGTTGGGGGATGATTTTTGCCACACATTTTAGGACATATTGGGGATTGTCAGTGGAATTGTTTATGACTTGGGGTTTGCCACTTCACAGCAATTGTTTCTGACCTTTCGTCCGAGCAATCAGAAAAAACATCGGGTTTACCACATGAGGTTCCTCAATATTATACCATGGTCAAATTAAACGTTGTGTTTTTTTGTTGGTTTTGGTAAATCCCATCATCCCATCCCTCTAATACCACCCGAAATGCTCGACCCTGGGCCAGAGTCCTGGATCTTATTTTGGGTCGCCATGGCCATGGTGGCCGAGGATGTCGTAACCATTGGGGGCCTGACTTTCCCTTTGCGCCAGATGGCTGCACCTTGGCGATGGGAGTTCCAGTGGGGTGTGGTTAAAACAATAATAATTACCCTCTGGTTATTTAACATAGCCATGGAAAATCGCCCATTTATAGATAGTTTACCTGGGTTTACCTATTTAAAATTGTGATTTTCCATGGCTATGTTAAATAACCAGATGGTATATATTGTTATATACCCATGTGGGAATGGTTCATACCACCTATCTGATAGACTTATCTATGGTGATTTGGGGGATGGTTTATTATTGTTTTAACCACATGAGTACCAGCATGTACCAGCATTTCGTTGATTTCAAGAGACACTTTCGTAGATATACAGATTTTCCGTGGCCATTGTGGGGACACTGTAGGGTACTTGTCCTAGGTGTACAGGCGTAGTGTTGCTTGGATCATCCGCACCTGTCACCCGGCGAGCCAATGCGCTTCAAAAACGTGTGTCCAGGATGGTAAAGATGATATTTCGCTCACACGCTCACATTTCCAGGTTCACAAACGTTCCATAATTATATCTATTATGATCTATTCTGTTTGCTACATATGGTATGCACGAAGAGAGAGAGAGAGAGAGAGAGAGAGAAGATAGGAGGAGTTAAAGTAGCTCACCCTAAGCATTTGGATGGTCAATACTAAATGACCAGTCCATGTATGGTTCAAACATGTTCAAGCCAAGCCAGGAAAATGATCCCAACACTCTCACATGAAGAAACTATGCCTAGTGGCCTAGTGATATTCCGATATGCGTTGGTAAAATCTCTGTATTTGTAGGTGACTCATGTGAGATCCCCATGCTGTTCTTGCAAATTTCTGCATGCTTCTGTTGGAATCCAAGTGTTGTTGGTTAAATGAACCATTACTTACTTCTTGATTCTTTAGTTTCCTTGATAAAATCCATAGGTTTGTTGATGAACTCCACAATTTTGATCAATTTTGTGGGTTACTGTAATGACCAGGTTTTGGCACATGTAAAAACAAGTTTGGCAGGCCGGTCTCATGGACTCCTTAGACTTCGCTTCTTCGACACGCCACAACAGATGTGCACTGGCGCCTTTGCCCCTTGGCAGAGTGATTTGTGGCAGCATCAATGGAGCTACACTCTGCTAATCAACATAACTAAAAGTTCATCTATGTTCAACTGATAATTGACCATAGTGCAGATTAATCAACATCAATGGATTTAACTATGGACACTCACAATTTTGAAGCGAAAATCATCTATTTTGGCGGTTCATTTTCCACAGCAAACCAAAGGGTAAGGGAAATTCTGAAAGAAAACCGGGCAAGCTCCTGGACTTCAGTGGCAAATTGCAGGAACACTTTGGCAAAAACTAACAGTTGATTATCAAAAGTAGTGTTGTTTTTCAAACAAAATATCAGTATCTTGGCAATTCACTGAGCCTGAGGGGGATTGCAGGGATTGCTATGCCGTTTTTTTTTGGGAGTCGCCAGCAGCTCCAGAGCTAAGACTGGTCTTCGCGCTGGATCATAGCAGCACTTTAGCTGCGTTCAGCCGAAAAAGCGATGAAGGATTAGATGTTTGGTTTGGCTTTACATGGGGAATCAAAGGGATATCTATTTTTATATTATTTATTTTTTTATATCACATATATATATATATAACGTGTTTTTTCTAAATATATATATATATATGTATATGTGTGTGTGACCACATATTTCTATACATATATACATTTGTATTATATACACATATGTTGACTTCCTATATACAGTATGTACATATTCATCCAAGCTTAGCCGTGGATTCGCTGTGAATGTGGAGCAGGATGGGCTTGGGAACGTTGGCTCTGAGCCAAGCGGCTGGCAGAAACTCACCAAAGAGATGGTGTTTGTCGACCATATCCAAATCAGCATTTTTATAGGTGTATGAACAATTCCCAAATGGTTGGTTTATGGCATTGTTTTACCCACATCACAGAAAAATGTCCTGCTGATGTCTGTGAAGCCCAGGCGGTTTGCGCAACCTGAACTTCATCAACAACGACTTTGGCGCGGAGAACGAACATGTGGTGGACTCCGTACTACGGCTCGCGCAGAGAGGTGTGCCTTTATGGTAGGTCCAGGGATTAAACCACCACAAAGCATTGACTAACACACAAATTGGATAGAACAAACAACAATATCACTGTTTTTTTGCCAACAATACTGGGATTTGGCCAGCATCCGGTGAATCCGCAATATTATCAGCTATAGAGTTTAAACAGTACAGTATATATATATATATATGTAATATTATATTTATATATGTATGAGTCTATGCATGGCGCCATTTATTATTTCAGGGGCATGTTCACGACCAGCACGATGAGTCCCTGTGGCATGTCCATATGCTTCTCTAGACTCACTGGATGAATTAAAACAGGCCTCACTGCGACGTCACTGGAATCATGATGCTTCGTAAAGGCAGCTATGTTTAGATGGTTGTATTTCAGGTTAGTGAATTAGACATTTGTAATTGGCTCACATGTCACCTTCTTTTGGGTTACGTCCAGAAATGTTGCTATTTCTTTGAAGAACACATCTTTTCGCTGCTGCAGGGGCAGGCAATGATTATGCCACAATAGCCCATGTTCGGGCAATCATGTTGTTTCCGACAACTTACACGTTTTGGGCTTGCGCAGGTGGCATGACCCAGACAGGCCCACAAAGTAGAAGTCTCAGGTTGTTTCATGTGTTTTATGCAGTAGTGGATCGCTTTGCTATATGCATAGTTGTTTATGCTTGTCTATGGTGCCTTGTCTGGCTAGCTTTCGTATTGGCATCTCATAAACATGCAGACATCCGCTCAGATTCACATGGAACGGAGGTTCAGTACCGTTTGAGCAAGTACAAAGCATACTGCGCACACGCGCCCCCACGCACTTCATATATGACTTAATATTCTTTTATGTGCAATTCATTGGAATTCTATTTGTGCACTGGATGCAGATGGAGCAAACCCAATAGTAAACGACGCTTTGACCGATCAGTTTTGCTTTAAACACATGCCAGGTTTGGAGGTTTACAACGACCTTCCTCTACACGGTGCAGCAGAAGGGCTTCTCGATTACATTTCTTTGGTTTCTGAGGGGCGGAAGTGCTGGGGTTCAATTGATTTCAAATTGATTCCATCAGTTGGAAATCAAATGCAAGTATATTACACCGGTGAAATCTAACATAGCGTTTTTTAGCCCTGGCACCAACTCACAAACATAGCATCTGGCTACGCTGTCAACCCTGGGGATTTGGAGAAAGTGATCATTTGGGTGATTTCTGCCAACACCTGCTAACATAGCCTCTGTTTCCGTCCTCCCAATGTTTGGCATTCCCCAGGAAGTGGGTAAAAGAAATGTACCAGAATAAGCTAACATAGCTGTCTGGAGACTTGTCACAGCTTGGAACCACCAAATGGAAAGTGCTATGTTAGCATCAAACTCCACGGAAAACATGTTTTAGAAAATGGGAAACCGAACGCATCAATCAATCAATCCAGAATGAAAGTACCCCTGGTTGCTATGTTAGGTTGTCTCTTTTGAGTCTCCAGCCGACCAGATCAAACCAAAACTGTTTTTGGATGCCTTTCTGGGGCTCACCCTTACTGGACCCAAAAAAACTTCAAAACCAACAATTTTACATAATAGATTGAATAAGAAAAAAACTCCTGGTCAAAGTTGCCAATCTGGCTACTTGCTGCCATGATGATTATGATGTACTATTGCAGGTTTTGGGAACCATGGGCAAATGCTATGTTAGCAATCCTGTTGCCCAAACTTTGGTTTTGGATTGAAAATCATGACTGGCACAAGTGTTTTTGGATGTCTTCCTGGGGCTCACCCTTACTGGGCCCAAAAAAGCTTCAAAATCAACAATTTTATATAAGCGATTGAATCAGGAAAAAACTCCTGTTCCATGTTGCCAATCTGGCTACTTGCTGCCATGATGATTATGATGTACTATTGGAGGTTTTGGGAAGCCTGCGCGAATGCTATGTTAGCCCAGGATTGGCAACATCGACCAGGAGTTTTTTTCCTTGTTCAATCTATTATATAAAATTGTTGATTTTGAAGCTTTTTTGGGCCCAGTAAGAGTGAGCCCCAGGAAGACATCCAAGAACACTTGTGCCAGTCATGATTTTCAATCCAAAACCAAAGCTTTGGCAACAGGACTGCTAACATAGCATTTGCCCATGGTTCCCAAAACCTCCAATAGTACATCATAATCATCATGGCAGCAAGTAGCCAGATTGGCAACTTTAACCAGGAGTTTTTTTTCCTTATTCAATCGATTATATAAAATTGTTGATTTTGAAGCTTTTTTGGGCCCAGTAAGGGTGAGCCCCAGGAAGACATCCAAAAAAAAAAAAATTAAGACCAGGTGTTAGTTTTTGGGAGTCAGGTGTTCAAATTTTGCAAGTATCAGCCTTTTTTGGCAAATGTCAAATGTTTTTTGCCGCGGCCTTGTGTCAACTTATGGTTGTGTCAAGCTTTGCAGTTTACCGGCAAACCCAAAAGAATTTGGTCGTCATATGTTTCGTGACGATTCATGATTGTTCTTGGGGTCTGATCTGTTTTGGAGACAACTGTCACGACTCCCTGAGCACATAAACTGGGAAACTCATTGGGTTCATAAGGCTGCCAAGTCTTGGTTAGCAAGAAGGCTGGCTGAAAGAAAAGAAATTGGCTAACAGAATCACGTGGGCAGAGTGCTTTGTCTGGCAGTTTCCGTCTGCTAGCCCCCTCCGAAGTAGTAGGTATTTATCACAGCTTCTATGCTTGGCATTGTTTGGCAATGTCATGGGCCCAAAGTCTCCGGCGGCCAGGCTCTGGCAAGACAGGGCCCGGCTGCAAGACCTAGACAGGACTCGCAGCCAGGCGCTGGCTAGCGAGGGCTTGGCTGCCAAGAGGAAGAAAGGTCCATGGGTCCAAAGCCGCTCTAGCAGGGGCATGTGCTGGCGTGCAAACGGGTGAGGTGCGACGATCCACCTGGGCTCAAATTTATCCGCAAGGCTTTGTAGATATCCTATAGCTGTTACAGCCTTTGAGCACAATAGCGGCAGCACGGAGTGAAGCTGAAAAAGAAGTTGCTGCAGCATTCCAAGTACTTTCCGACCTGCCAGGTGAGGGTTCGACTTTTAGGAACTTGAACCCTGTGGCAAGCTGGACCCTCACGCACTTGACATTTGAGCCCCTACCCACCCGAACCCTTTGGCACGACTTCCTCCCTCCCTCCGCGCCCTCTGCCAACCTTGCCAGCTCTCCGGGCTGCCCGAAAAAATGTCGGATATATGTCAGATAGAATTGAGCATTCATGTCGAACTAGCCTTGGGCGACTAGTCATCAGCATGTCTGTTGGTAGGATGGTGGCTGGCGTACAGGACCCCGGGAGCTGCCTTGCAGTTACCAAAACCCCGGCGGCCGGCATGCTGGGAGCCGGAGAACTGGTCGCCAGCATTGCTGGCGACCGGTGACCTGGCACCCGGATTTGCTGGCTGCCAGGAACTTGGTGGCAGCAAGGTAGCTTCCAGGAGACTGGATGACAGCCTGTCCGACACTGACAGCCATGTCAGATAGACAGCAGAGAAAATCTCCAAGGAAATGAAGGATAAGATGTCGGATCGATTGCGAACATATCGGATGGTACATAAGATGTCAGATCGCATGAGTTGTTTTTTGTAAAAATCAAATGTCAGAATGCATCTCCAGGTGGGGATCACGACAATAAAAAAGTAGATTAAACTAGAACGATAATTTTGCCAGTTTAGCCCGAAACGTTAAAAAAATTAGAAGCGATGCGTCAAAAACGTGCATGTTGCACAATTAGGGTCCCCCTCTGGACCCCCCCCCACTGCGCAAATTTCATTTGAAATTCGCACATCATTGTATTGCATTTTGGTTCTTGCACAATGACCCCCCCCCCCCCCCGTTGTGCAACCCTGGTTGTACCCCCGCGTTGCGCAAATTTCATTTGAAATTTGCACAATGACCCCCCCTGGACCACCCCCCCCCACTGCGCAAGATCCATGTTCACCCATTTTGACAAGATCCTGCAGGATGCGCAAAATCCATGGTCACCCACTGCGCAAGATCCATGTTCCTCCCCACTGCGCAAGATCCATGTCCTCCCACTGCGCAATATCCATGTCCCCCAACTACGGAAGATCCATGTCCCCCCTTGAAACATGCCCAGTATATTTTAAAATCGATGGAAGCTGACCACTGCAGAGTGCTTCCAACTGGGAGGGGAAAAACACGGAACACAACTATCTACCATGGAACTAAATATGAAGACGCAAACCCATACTAGCTAGAACAGCTCTGCCCACCAAAAAACGATGTCAACCACAATACATCAAACATTGCAGGGTTCCACAGAAGTAGTTGCTAGTCTTTGTTTTTTGACAAAACTTTCTTGCCGCCAATCCGACATTAAAAAACATAATTTTCAGTAGATCTTCACAGCACGAGGGGCCAACTGTTTCAAAAGCAAGACTATATTAATTAATCATGTTTCTTTGTAGCACCCGATGCTTTCAACAAGAAGGTCTTGGAACACAAGTGCATGGCACCAGCCCTTCAAGAAACAAGATCTTCATAGCAGCACAACGTTTCGCAACCCCGTCGTTTAACGCCATTTCAAAGCAACTACTTCCAACTACTTCCCTCTCTTTTCACGGATAAGACTGCTGTAACTCGGAGAATGCGCGCGCGTCTACTGCATCAATTTGTGTCGTGTTTTTTCCTTCGTCTTAAATTTACATACGATGTGAATTCCTATAATCAAACCACAACCCTAGCCCCAATAACTGGAAGGGGCTTTCAAAAGTCATCATGATGTCAAAACCATATGTGACAAAGTCAAAATGAATCTTTGTTCAGGGATGCCGGGGCCTTATTCTATAGCGGTTTTGAACCCGTGGACCTTTCTGCCTCTTGGCAGCCAAGCCCTCGCTAGCCAGCGCCTGGCTGCGAGTCCTATCTAGGTCTTGCAGCCGGGCTCTGTCTTGCCAGAGCCTGGCCGCCGGAGACTTTGGGCCCATGACGTTGCCAAACAATGCCAAACATAGAAGCTGTGATAAATACCTACTACTTCGGAGGGGGCTAGCAGACGGAAACTGCCAGACAAAGCAATCTGCCCACGTGATTCTGTTAGCCAATTTCTTTTCTTTCCGCCAGCCTTCTTGCTAACCAAGACTTGGCAGCCTCATGAACCCAATGAGTTTCCCAGTTTATGTGCTCAGGGAGTCGTGACAGTTGTCTCCAAAACAGATCAGACCCCAAGAACAGAACAATCATGAATCGTCACGAAACATATGACGGCCAAATTCTTTTGGGTTTGCCGGTAAACTGCAAAGCTTGACACAACCATAAGTTGACAAGGTCGCGGCAAAAAAACATTTGACATTTGCCAAAAAAGGCTAATACGTGCAAAATTTGAACACCTGACTCCCAAAAACTAACACCTGGTCTTAAAAAATCTTCCTTAAAAACAGTTGTGTGCCAGTCATGGTTTTCAATCCAAAACCAAAGCTTTGGCAACAGGACTACTAACATAGCATTTGCGCAGGGTTCCCAAACCTCCAATAGTACATCACAATCATCATAGCAGCAAGTAGCCAGATTGGCAACATCGACCAGGAGTTTTTTCCCTTATTCAATCTATTATATAAAATTGTTGATTTTGAAGCTTTTTTGGGCCCAGTTGAGCCCCAGGAAGACATCCAAGAACACTTGTGCCAGTCATGATTTTCAATCCAAAACCAAATTTTTGGTTTTGGGAACCCTGCGCGAATGCTATGTTAGTAGTCTCCTTGGTCTCACAATTTATTTAATCGATTGAATAAGGAAATCAACTCCTGGTCAAAGTTGCCAATCTGGCTACTTGCTGCCATGATGATTATGATGTACTATTGGAGGTTTTGGGAACCCTGCGCAAATGCTATGTTAGTAATCCTGTTGCCAAAACTTTGGTTTGGATTGAAAATCATGACTGGCACAACTGTTTTTGGATGTCTTCCTGGGGCTTACCCTTACTGGACCCAAAAAAGCTTCAAAATCAACAATTTTAAGGAAAAAACTGCCCTGCGCACACAGACGAACGCTAACACAGCATTTCCCGCTTGAGCTTACTTGATGCTTCACACGCGCCAAGTTAGCACCAAAATGTCCATGTCACACCATGTGTTCCCAACGCCAAGTTAGTTGAATCTCAGCCCCAAAACCCAAACACTAACATAGCAAAAAAAAAACTTTCAACAGGTAAGATTTCACGAGAGTAAGTATTATTAAGTCATATTAAGTCTATGACATAATCCATTGAGCTTTAGTTCTGCTGACTTGTGGTTTCAGGGGCCTAATTTGAAAGCGTGAGGTGTTGAAGTCAGCACCTAAACCTTCAGTAGTGAGTGACTGAAAGCCTTCATGATTCGGCTGTGGAATAAGCAGGTAGTGGAGAGATGAGGCAACAAGATGTGGAGATGCAACCAGTCAAGATTGGATAAAGATGGAAAATGACCCTAACATGCATATATTATATATGCGTATGTGTGGGTGTTAATACGTGGACTGGACCTTTCTTTCTTATATACTTCAGTTAAGACTGATGCCTCCCGGCCTTTGTGCCTGAAAAACCATATCATTTGCATGGTTTTCATTTGCCGCGCAATTCAGAAACATTTGCTTGGAAGGCTTACCGGTAGGTGCCTGTTGTCTAAGGACAACATGTTGCACAATGTTGGGGACTGTGTTTTTTTGATTCAGCCCTTGGCACAGTTTGGAAGGTTGGAAGGTTTGCATGTTTTCTGTTTTTTGGCTTGGAACAAAAAACACTGTCGTGGTTCCCCAATTGATGGAGCAGAAGATTCGCCGGTGAGCATCCCACATCCCCCTGAATATGTGGATGCGCAGCATCCCATTTAGTATATTTAGTAATGGTTTATAATCCATCACATGTCCGTACATATGTGAAAATCCTACAGTAACCCATATATATATAACCCATATATATATATAATCCATATATATATATATATATTCCACACGTTATTCATCATGCAGAGTCTGACACATCGCGGTTGATGCACTTTTTTGTGCCAAGGTTTGATGTGCAATTGCGAGCGGTGATGCCGCACGGGCTCTGTGTACCTTGGCGGATCTGGGGACAAATTTCATGACAAAAGGTCGGCGACTTTGAACTAATTGATTATATATATATATAATGATTAAATATAATGATTAACTATATATATATGGTTTATATATATATATGGATTATATATGGATTATATATAACGTCAACCCCGGATTAATAAACCATAGATTATGAAAATTAGGGGAGTACTCCTCCAATAGTCATTTCATCTAGTACTGAAAAGTGGTAGCCTCCCAATTAAACAGCCGTTTGGGGGTTGTTAATCCAGGGTTGACATTAGTAATCTAGATCTGGGGTGTGATTGGAAATAATGATATGATGCGATATGATGTAATATAGTGCGTCATGATAGGATATTATGGGATATACTGATATAGTATGATATCGTCATTGTATTGTTTGTTATTTGATATTGTGATATAATGGGCTTTAATGTGAGATTATAAGATATAATGGGATATAATTCAATGCGATATGATGGGAGACTAGTGGGAGAATAAGGGTTTCATGTTTGATCAGAACGCCATGTTGAAATCACCGGATGCGTTGATCCAGTTGATCCTTGGCTTGTTTGTCTGGAGGGAAGTAGTGGACAAATCATGGGACGATGGACATGGGATGACATGGGCACATCATTTAACACATATCTAACAGATCAGCCCGGAATGATCCCCCGACGCAGCCCCATGGCGAATCCATGAAATTCGTTGCATGCGCCTTGCTTTGAGACGCATCATGTGCTCCTGTTGCTTGCAGACCATTCCCCCCCAAAAAAATTACTTTACTTCGTGTGATCCCCACCATGACAATCATGACATTTATACATGTTCTTACTGGCACATCTTCTGGCATTCTATCTGACATATCTTCTGACATTCTATTTGGCATTCTATCTGGCATATCTTCTGGCATTCTATCTGGCAAATCTTCTGGCATTCTATCTGGCATTCTATCTGGCATATCTTCTGGCATTCTATATGGCAGATCTTCTGGCATTATATCTGGCATATCTTCTGGCATTCTATCTGGCAAATCTTCCGGCATTCTATCTGGCATTCTATCTGGCATATCTTCTGGCATATATTCTGACATATCTTCTGGCATTCTATCTGGCATATCTTCTGGCATTCTATCTGACATATCTTATGGCATTCTATCTGGCATATCTTCTGGCATATATTCTGACATATCTTCTGGCATTCTATCTGGCATTCTATCTGGCATATCTTCTGGAATATCTTCTGGCATATCTATCTGGCATATCTTCTGGCATATTTTCTGGCATTCTATCTGGCAAATCTTCTGGCATTCTATCTGGCATATCTTCTGGCATTCTATCTGACATATCTTCTGACATTCTATTTGGCATTCTATCTGGCATATCTTCTGGCATATGATCTGGCATATCTTCTGGCATATCTTCTGGATTCTATCTGGCAAATCTTCTGGCATTCTATCTGGCATATCTTCTGGCACTCTATCTGACATATCTTCTGGCATTCAATCTGGCATTCTATCTCATATCTTCTGGCATTCTATCTGACATATCTTCTGGCATATATTCTGACATATCTTCTGGCATATCTTCTGGCATATTCTGATCTGGCATATCTTCTCTTCTGGCATTCTATCTATCTGGCATTCTATCTGGCATTCTATCTGGCATATCTTCTGGCATATTTCTGGCATTCTATCTGGCATATCTTCTGGCATTTTTCTGGCATTCTAACTCTTCTGACATTTTTATCTTCCTACATGAGGTCCGGCAGGGAACACTTGGCGGCGGTTGAGGGAACACTGGGCGTGGATGGTCGTGGTTGAGGTCCGGCAGGGAACACTGGGCGTGGATGGTCGTGGTTGAGGTCCGGCAGGGAACACTGGGCGTGGATGGTCGTGGTGGAGGTCCGGCAGGGAACACTGGGCGTGGATGGTCGTGGTTGAGGTCCGGCAGAGAACACTGTGGATCGCGGGTCGCAGTTGGACGAGGAGGACGATGAGGAGGACGACGAGGAGGACGAGGAGGAGGAGGAGAGAAGGACGAGGCAGGAGGAGGCGGAGGAGGAGGAGGAGCAGGAGGAGGAGGCAACTGACATAAAATCTAACAACCCTCACCTGGCAGGTGGGGAAAAAACATATTGATGGAGGTACCTGCTTATGCAAAACCAGCTCCCAAGTATCCCAAAGTTCTGGGAGGTCCGAAATACTGAAAATTAATTTCAGTAGATAAAAGCAGGCCAGGTGTACGATATTTGGGTATGGCTGGCCCTTTGGCAATCGACCCTCACACAAAGTTCACCGTTTGCGGATTAACCTGACCCTACGTTCCCTTTAAACATCACGAATGTCAATGTTTTGATTGCTGGAGAATTTATATATATATATAATTATAATACATAATATATGTATATATATATATACGTATATATGAAAAACGATCACCCTTCCCGGCCTTCTCCAAAAAAAAAGGCTTTGACGTTTTTCACACTTTTCCGGTTGGCGGAAAACGCCGAGGTCTTCGCCAGCACTTTCTTGCCGCGGCAAAGGTATTTGAAACACCTCAATTTGCAGAGCTGCGGCTTGGAAACCGGGCTGAAACCGGCTGGTTTTGTGGCACAGTGCTGACAGATCCATAAAGATAATGTGATTGAAATGGGTCCCCCAAGATATCTCAAGATTGTGTGTGTGTGTTTATGGGAAACATAATGATGAAGGAAATTTATATATTTCGAGGGTACCCCGACATTGTCAGACAGAAACCTATAATATAGAGAAATTGCAACTTCGCAGGGCTGTAGGGCTTTCCAGCCAGCCTGTTTTTTTAACTGAAAGATAGATGATTCCCTTGTGGAGAAATGAAGCTCGAAACCACTCAAGCAGTATTCTTCATAGGATAATGATAAAAGTCGTTTGAATTGTAACCGAACAAATGTAATCATGTGTAATGCAAATTTTAGTTTTGGTTTGCCTTGGCTTTGCTGAGGGGTGTGCAGAAGCTTGATTACCGATAGGGGACGACCCTATACCGATACCTTTGTTTTGCATGAGTCACCTCAAAGTCTGAGAACGCAGAAATCATCACTACCGATAGGAGACGACCCTAATTTGCGCATGGCATGAAAATGATCAAGTACTTTTGTCCGTTATTCATATGGTCAAATTTGAAAGTATAGCAAGTGAGTGAGTGGTGCACGCTAGTTCAGCCTTAGACGTATACTGTATTTGAGAACGTATTTGAGAACTTTAATTTTCTGATACACTGTAAGTGGGTGTATTTGCAGCAGGTTCATTTCTACCGTGTCTATCCGTATCTAAGCTTGGCCAAGGGGGATAGAACTTATGGAACCCCAGGCAATGATGAGAATCGCGGGCAAAGCTCAGCTATAGATGCTATAGCATCTATGTCACACTACAGCCTAGTGGCTGGTTTACGTCCGTTCCTAATGTGGTTACAACATACACCACTGGTGAATGTGGTTTGGAATAGCAGTAACGTTTGCAAGGAAAAATATCCTCCGGTAATCGAACGTGGCAATGGACAAGCCTCCATTGAACGATGATTTTCCCAGCTACAAATCCTCCATTTAGTTCAGGGATTCCCCAGCCAGCCATGGTTGATGACACTGGTGGTGCTAGTTTAAACAAGTTTAAAAGCATACTTCACCCGCTACCCGGATATTTTGGGGGCTTGACCGTGGGTGAGTTTCAAGCACTGAGTAGTTTTTAGAACATCATCTGGTTGGTGGTTTGGAACCATGGAATTTTATGACTTCCATTCAGTTGGGAATGTCATCATCCCAACTGACGAACTCATATGTTTGAGAGGGGTAGGTCACCCACCAACCAGTCATATATATATATATACCATATAGTACAGAATAATATACACCATATATACCATATACTGTATATATATATATATATATACCATAGATACATGTTCCATGGCACATCAAATTCCATCAGAACTCAGCGGACTCTCACAGTGCACCGCAGAACCTTGCCACCTCCAGCCTTCCAAGGACGCCAGGTCCTTGGGAGAGCCTTGACGCGAATGTTTTCCGGTGGCTTCGAAGCCAGGGGAAGAAGAACATCTCGCAAAAAACGACCAGATATGTTTTGTTATATGACAATTTACCATAAATCACCATGGAAAATCACCTCAAGTATCAATTGCACTAGGATTAGTAGGCAAATACATCCATAAGCGAACCATGTTCATCCATTTTGAGCTATCTTGAATTGCGTTATTGGAACATGTTAAAGTATCACCAGATTCGGACCCGCCCCAGCACATCAAGAAACGACTGCTGCACATCACTAAACGACTCCTGCGGTGCCCATCCGGAACTCCCAAGTCAACAGGTTGGCTCACTGAATGAGGCTCTTCGCGAGCTACCTTCCACTTACTTATATAATTAAAATTAAGATAATGTTGAAAAATCCATCATTTGTGGAACACTTTCTTTCGAACATCACGACTTTTCCATGGCTATGTGAATAAACCGCTGGGCATGTTTGATTGCAAATTGAATATTATGCAGGCTCATGTGATTCGGTCGATTCCCAACCAGATGCTGAGTCCATAGATATATAGATCATACTTATAAGTATATAATCAATCCTCGTCGGGTGTCAACTTGAAGTCTCCGCCCATCACGCAGTGAGGATATGGCCATGGAATATTGAGGGATTAAAGTCATTAAAGTCATTAAACATATTAAAAAAATGCAGTTTTATGACCAGCCGTAGCGTGGCCTCAGGCTATCCTTCTGGCGGTGTTGCAGATTCAAACAGCTGCCTGGTTGACCTTGATTTTTGAACGGGGAACATGGGTCGTCTCAGCGAAAGCCATGCATGTGAAGGGTGCACCGCCAAGTAACCAGTGTGGCTTGGAAGACGGTGTTCACACCGGAATGATATTAATGTTGTTTCCACGTCGTCCAGATTGTTCATAGCATTTTACTATACCCTCCAGTAGTCAAAATGGTTTCGTCTACAAAGAGAGCATTATGTCTGACATGTTGCAAAGAGAGGGGGTCTCGTTTCTTGTCAAATCAAGGCTCAAAGACAAAGGTTACCCTCCGGTGCCATCAAATGTGGCAGTGGGAAGTTCCCGAACCAAATGCGAGGTGTTTTATAATGGGAAAATCATCGAACTAAACTGGGAGATTTTCAAGTGCCGCGTTTGATTACTGGCTCTTGGGCTCTGAAAGGCTGTTATGTAACTTAGCTGTACCAAAAGGGCCAACATAGCTACTTAGCAGCTACTTGGACAATTCCCGTGTTTGAATATATGCTAAAATAGGGTAAATCATTTGCAATCGTGCCATTTTCCATAGCAATGGCAGTCTTGGTGCGGAGACTAGTGACGCCGAAAAGCGTAACAAGCGCGTTAGTGAGTTCACTGGAGGGTAAAGGGGGAAGTTGGAGGCATCATGAGGCATCTATATACTATCAAGGCAGGAATTTATTTGCCTCTAGGCTGCAATTCCCATTTGGCCCAATGTTTGATGGTAAGAAAACCATTTGCATGATTATCTCTAGATTTAATGACGAGATGACTGCTATGTTGATTGGTTTTGATCCTTTTTTTGAGGGTGGCCTTATATGACACATAAATCTAGACTTAACTATTTGCACATAGACTGAATGTTCGCATCTTTCAGGAACTTTCATCATAGATTCTGCAAAAAAAAATAATGTAGCAGTATGACAGTCTTATTCCAGCACCATGATTGAAGAATTTCCATTTGTGAGTTTTGGCCTGCACCGAGGTCATTACCCTGGATATTTCCAGCCAACCTTTGAAGAAGGTGGGAGAGAGCGCCTGAAGAAAGCAACCTCCCCAGCCCACCTGAGGGTTTCTGGACCCAAACAACCTCATACTGGTATCAACATCACAAGACATCCAAGATTATTTATGATTGTATAATTCAAAGGCCACCCAGAACACGCATAGGATTTTTTCGGGAAGTCGCCCAAAGGATGTTGTTTGTTCATAAGGCCAGTCAATGCACGACATAAAGGAACTTTGGCCAGAAAATGAACGTTTGGATCCTATAGACAAGAGAGGGGGGCATTCATTGATGCCCACAAACAATGGTGATTTAATCATATTTAATCTACCAAAAGTGCTGGTGAAGCAAGCCCATATTTGGTCGAAGCAACTGGCAAACGGGCTAGCAGCAGCCGTTTTGACAGAGGAACATGGAACATTCCACCAATAAACTAAACCTTTTCTCCAGCAACGGATCATCGCAAAAGAAGGCAAGGACGCGTGAGGCACGGTGTGTATACGCGCTTGACTTGCATGAAGGGAACATCTGCAGGACATGCGTATTCACGGGCACGAAACCATTCCGCTTCAATTTTCCCCATTGCACTAACCCAACGAGGTATCCATCCAAGGTTCTGGTTCTGGATTATCATGACTTCACTGCGACGTCATTTATCAGTTCTCCAGACATGTTATTTCAGTGGCTCAGATGTCAACGTCGTTTTTGGGGAACCGTCTTAGTTTTGTGACAGGCTGGGATGGAGCATTTGGCCTCATTCCTACGCTCTGATAAGAAGCTGCAAATGCTCACGGCGCAGAACATCAGCACGCCCTCCTACTACACCGCAGATCCTCGGCTTGGCAGATGTGGAAGACTTCAGCTGGAGGATCGAGGTGATCTTTTCGCTTCTCCATGTGCTTTGCCGGGAGAATTTTGGCGACGAGGGGCCCATATTCTCAGATGACGTATTTTAATGTATGTTCATGATCCCTAAGCGGTGTTCAAAAATAAAATCAAGGGGCTTGAGCCCGAAATATTTTTAAATTTATTTTTCAAAAGGTGCTTATCATAAGTTTTGAGTAAGTCAGACCCCTATGATTTTATTTTTGAGACATGGGCCAAGACCAAGAACCAACCCCAATGCAGCTGGTGGAGTAGCTTTAGGTTGGGTCCCTTTGGTTTTATTTTTGCGTTTTGCTTACCTTTTTGTTTTGTTGGAACATGTTGGAACACACCTCTTGTGCTGGAATTGGTGGACAAGACATGATGAAAACAATGGCTATCACGCCACAAAAAAGAAAAAACTATGGATTGTGATTACCTGATTACACCATTCTGCTTCTACAAAGCTTGAAATACATATTTAAAAGCTGGGTTTGGATATGTTTGGATTCAATATTTGATAGATTTTGGGGAAAATAAAGTCCAAGGTTCCCAAGCTTGTAGAATTTTGTTGGGTGGTATGGTTGGAATATATTGAATCTATGCTTTGTTTGGTGGTCGCTATTGTTTGGGCAGAAAAGGATGCAGCCAGAACACGCCACAAAAAAGAAAAAAAACTATGGATTGTGATTACCTGATTGCACCATTCTGCTTCTACAAAGCTGGAAATACATATTTAAAAACTGGGTTTGGATATGTTTGGATTCAATATTTGATAGATTTTGTTGAGATTTCAGATGATTTCACAAACACAGATGCTGACCTTGAACCCTTCAGTTTTATTTCTGGAACATTTTGGATGCTGGTTTGGAACCTTCTTGATTTTATTTCTGGAACCTCTTGATTTTATTTTTGCAAACCCCTCAGTTGGATGACTGATGATACTGATGATTCTCTCTTTGCGCAACATGTGGGGTTGAACTCCCCTGATTTCATTTTTGCATTTTGGGGGTCAGTAGCCTGGGTGCCATTGATTTCATTTTATTTTTCAGGGGTTCAACCCCATCTGGGTGCACCACAAGGGGATGTTCATGCTTTTTCCACAGAATCATAGATATAGGCGGCCTTATATCCCAAATTACCCTAATATGCTCCATGTATGGAATATGTAATATGTATCAACATTTACACCAAAAAATATCCAGTTTTGTAGGGAAATCTACCAGCACCATGTGTTTTTTGTTTTTTTTTCGGCTTGAAGCCTTCCCATGGTTGGCACGTGCCGAGGAGATGTTGGACTTCGCCAAAGCCATGGAGGTTAACAGCGATGCTGCGGAAGGGCAGGGTTCCATGGGATACCAACATGAGGATACTGGGATACTACTGCTAGGATGGTTGCAAAATCCTGCACCAGTTGAAAACGGTGGTTTATTCATCCCATTATTTCATCCCATTATTTGTTTGGGGTTTCAACCATCCTTTTGGTGGTGTAGGATTTCGCAACCATCCACAACATCACAGGAATTTGTGGATATTCATGGGACATAATATGACATAATGGGAATGGTTAAGTTATATAATGGGAATGTTGTACGTCGCAGTTAAGGTTTACCAACTTCACTGTAAATGGATGTAAATGGTATACAACGGGACATAATGGGAATATCATGGGAATACCAACCAGAATGAATATATTCCATGGTGTTTCATGGGAATAGCATGGACATGATTTCTTTTTTTTTTGTGGGGGACATATCAACCATAGGGATATCATAGGCTTTTTTCTTCATGGGATATACCAGGATATACCCTCTAATCCAACATGGCTGGAGGTTTGCTGGGAAAATCTGGACTGGAGGAGATCAATACTTTGGCGAACAGTTTATCCCAGTTTATTCCAGTGTCATGTAAGAACCAGAATATTATGGACATTTATGGACCATTGGATCTTGGCAATAATTTTGTCATGTTGGCTGCATTAATCTACTATAAACCTGAACTAATATGCTTATTTTGATCGAATACCACCCCGCTGATCAATGAGACATTGTGGTTGGGAACATTGTTCCGGACCAAACGGAAAGCCACGTGTCAGCACTAATTCGGGCCACTCAACCCATCCTGCTACGGGCCGACGGACCATCCTAGTTGAGATTATGTACATCTGGGTAAAGTAGAACGACCTCACTGCGACCTCACTATAATCATAGTTAGGATTCGGGGAATCATCCCCAAGATTGCCTTATTTATCCTTATTTCAGGTTAGTGTATTATTATCATTTGCCCAGATACATTATTATTTGGATGGGTCAATACCTATGGGACCAGTGGAATCGCTGGGGAACTGCCGCGGTGACCTCTTGAAGGTCACGATTTCGCCACATGCTGCCATGATTGATTGATAGCCGTGAGGTGGTACCAAATGCATCCAAATGCATACAACAAGACACAAGGAACTTCAACATTGGATTTCATCGGAGGTAAAGTAATACTCACATTTCGTGGATAAAGCACCTGTTTCTTTTGATTTTCAAAAGTAATGTTCCTAGATGACGCATGTTTTGCCCAAAACGATTGGTTTCCTGAAATTTCACTTGAATCAGTCCATCACAGAATTGTACAAACAGCAAGTTTTAACTTATCCTCTGGTAGACTAACGTAACTATGGAAAATCACCATGTTTAATGGGTAAATCCACTATAAATGGGCCATTTTCAATAGCTTTTTGTATGTTGACCAATCCATTCAGTCCACCGATCGCCACCAAGGCACCTTGGCGACGCTGGACTTGCGTGGGAACGCGCTCCATGGGGGAATCGTTGGGCGTTTGCGCCGGACTATGGAAGAAAAGCGCCACTTGGCACATGGAGATGATGGTTTAGGGTTGCCATTTCCAGATTTTGGGTTTTTAAAGGGCACATGATTCCCAATTCATATAATTCATGAGGGTAAAACGATAAACCACCCATGTGGGAATGGTTTATACTCCTATTTATGGTGATTTGGGGGATGGTTTAATATTGTTTTACCCACATTATTTGTAAGTACTAAAGACATCTAAAGACATTTCTGGTTCCCAGAAATTTCCTGTCATATTTTTTTTTGGGGGGGATAATTCGGGACAATCGTTTTTTTTGCATAACCGTGAGCAGTTATATAAACGTTTAGCAGGGGAGCTGCGAATCAATCAGCAGAGGTTTGGGTTTTTGTTATTTTTCAGTGAGTTGTTTACTAAATATGGTGTCATATGGTATCAAAGGTTCTGGAATTTGAGTCCTTTTGCCCAGAAAAGGTATCCCCTCTCAGCAAGAGGGCTGTAACAAGGCCCTAATTAGGTATATATATATTAATATATATATATAATGGTGGTCAATAGTCCCAAAGCAAGTTCTCAATTTTGTCGGGGCATCCTAGGTGGCCAACATGTGGCAGGGAGTCACCGGCTGCCAAAAATGAGGGTGATCCACTTAGAATCTATTTGAATGTTTACCCACGAAAAGGGGCTAATGACCTTGGTGATTCCGCAATGGAAGCATTGAATAATTCTTAGGTTTATGTTGAGTATTTGGTGATTTGCGACGGAGGGCAGTCAGTCACTTGGAACATCACTTTCAGCTTTGACTTGAAGGGAAAAAGTAGGTGTCAACTCCACAATTTCCATCAATTTCCTGGGAACAAAGGGTGAGGTTAGTGTATCAATGGTTAACAGTTAACATGTTGTAACTGCTAAAATCCACTTTTTCAATCCCAATCAAATCTCTAAAATGTTGTCCAACAATTACCTAAAGATCCAATGGAGATCATATATACATAACCCAACCCATGAAACAGAATATATATATATAAACAGATAAAAGCGGTTTGCTCGCAGGTAGTGTGTTGCCGTTGCCCTTCGACAGCAAGATTTGTTTCCTGATGTGCAACCGACGCATGCCTTACCATTTGCAGCTGCCAGAAGTGGCACAGGCGTGGGAAAAGATGCCACTGGAACTCCGATGTCATAGGCGCCAAAATATGGACGTAACCAACGAAAATGGGGATATGATCGACAAAACACGGCGACTTAAACAACCAAAACCAACAAACTTGCGGGTTTAACTGAGAAACATTATAGGTTTTTCTTTAACAAGAGAAAGGGGATTTGACCAACAAACATGGTGACTGAACAAACAAGAATAGGGACTTGATCAACAATACTTGGGTTGTGACATGATTTAGCTGTCACAACCAGGGACTTAACCATCAACAAATAAGATTTAGCCATGACCAGAGTGTCCTAAAGTATCATCCAAGTGATAGGTCATGTTTTATGTGGGAAAACCAGTGCTTTGGTATGCTTGAGGCTCGGGTATCAAGCAACTGCCATACAATAGTATAAAAACATGTGCAGATAAATACGGATAAGTATGTTTGACATAGGCTGATAGGATGTTTGTTTCCAGATAAGCAGATAATCCAAGCTAAAGTTGATTTAATTACATGTGAATATGTTTGGGTGAATGTGTGTGTTTTTATCTTTTTCGAAGCTGCGTAAACAAATATATATACATATATATAAATAGATATACGCACATATAAACATACATATGTTTACGCATGTGCGCACAAATCTTCATGCCTCTTCATTTCGCCAGTGCCAGGTATGCGAGGTGAGTCGAATGTTCATTGGTGGATCCTACAGCCCACTCTTCATGACACTTCGCTGCCTATGGGGGAGAGAGGGAGAGAGAGAGAGAGAGAGAGAGAGAGAAGAGATGGGGAAGATGCAATGGGGATGCGTAATATATATATATATATATTCAATGCATAGCCAGCACTATTGTTTGGGTTTGCCCAGATATGGCGCATATCTCCAAATTAAGGGGAGGGTGCTGATTACAGATGACCCACTTGTCAAAGGGTTGTGAAAAAGTACCCCATGGATCCACACTTTTCCTCAGCTGCAAGTGAATCATTTGAAAACCATAGGGGACAGATATATTATAGGAAAACTTGTCCAGTTCCATACTATCTACTCGTACTTCATTTCGTCGCCTCAAGATCATCAAACCATTGATGATGCCCCGTTTTCCCATGCGTCATGTTTATTTCATTGTGTGCAGACCCCTTTTTTGTGGGTACCGATCTGGCAAGAACCTCGATTTATACATGGGGCATCACACAGGAATGGCAGACAGTTCAAGTCCAAGTGGGGAATAATTATGTTATGATTCGCTGAGATATGAGCTGATGATGGCAACACCATTTTGTAGTTTCAACATGTTGTAAAGTTGGTAAGCATGCTTACAACCATGAAATGTACACAAAGTGGTTCCCAGAGTTGGCGAAGTTGGTTTAGAGCAAGGATTTATAGCAAGGACTACTAGGTTTATCCAGTTTTTTTTATGATAAATCTCTCTCTCTCTCTATGTAAATATATAAATATATATATATATATGTGTGTATATATATATATGCTATATACTGAAGTGGGTGGTTGGTTTACAAACAAATTGGTCAGTTGTGGGGCATCACTTTGCATAAGAAAATTCTGGTAATGTGTCCAGGTTCCAGATACATAACTTATTAGGTTCGATTATCATGCTTACATGTACCTCACAGCTCAGTTAAAACATGGAATGCAATCACTCAACCAAATATGATATATGAGACTACCATTCTCCCGGAATTGAATCGGTCAAAAGATCTAATTTAATGTAATGTGAATCAGTGAAAGCATGGTTTCCAGTGTCTCCATATGTTTTCCTAAACCCATTGTTTTCCATTTCACCTTGACCATCAGCAGGATTTTCCAGTTCTGCGGGCAACCGCGTTTGCTGCAACTTGACGATGAACAGATGGATCCAGGACCGAGAGCTGATTTTTGTGGCTTCGAGTTCACCCCTTCCAAGCACATGAAACATACATTCAACACACACACATGTATATATATATATATATATCTAAGAAAGCTGGAACAGGTCCTAACGAATAGACCCTTAGTGCAAAATACATGATTTTCATATAAGTAACCCCTTTTTTTGCCATATAAACATTTTTAAAATAGATTAATATCCTTAAAAAGGCGTTATCTCTCTAACACGAAGGTCCCATCCACATTCCTAGTTCCCGCCTACAAACACATGTTGTGCACAATCTTAAGCTTGAGTGAGCCAGCTAGGCCAGAGCCAGTTACTTCCGGGCAAGGGGAATGCCAAAGAATGGGATTTAAAAAACCCAGTACCCAGAATCTAGCCGCTTGGGACCCCATTAGACCCTCAATTTGGAAACCTCGGGTTTGGAGGGTTCTGTTCCAGAGTATCCCCGTTTCAATCCGTTTCACCACCTAAATCAGCAAGGATACTCTGGAACAGACCAAACTGGCACGCTGAAAAGACCCTTGAAACCCCCAAAAAAGAGCCTGTCAAATTTCCACAAAATCGGCACCTTGCATACACCAAGATCTATACCATATACACTTCCCCCATTTTAAGGGGTGATCTTGAGAAATAAATGGTCACTACAGAGATTTGAATACTGTGAACAAGAACGGAGAATCAGAAGCATGGAAATGATGCAAAATGCTGGGAAATTTCAATCTCAGCAAGCAAAATCCACCAAATTTGAGCAGTTGGGGTTTGCTCAATAGGTCCCGTTGGAGATTTCTTAGAATATTATGTTTTCCTTAGTGCAGGTATCACATAAAGAATGATCAGATTCAATTGCAATCAGGGGTTCATTTGGGAGCGTCACTGGATGTAGTGGCACGGGATGCGTTGGTTGCATTCGCGAAGTGTTTCGTTTGAGGGATCTTCGCTGGGACCGAACCCAAGGTCCTGATGTTTGATTAGGTTCTTCAAACGTCTTCAAATGGAGTCAGCCGGATTCAGAAGAAGTCAGCCAAAGATCAAGAGTCAGCCGCAGTCAGCTGGCAAGTTTTGCCATCCTCCCGGCACCCTGTCAAATGTCAATCTTTGAAACTTGACGAACTGACTGAAATTGTCATTGTCAGTTCGTTGTTGTTTTCCTGTATTGCTATAAATCGGCTATTGGTAAAGATTAGAGTCATTAGAGACCCACCATTTTTGGGTGACCATCAATGACCATGAAATCATCGGCCGGGGAGTGTCTTCCAGATGGATCCAGATGGATCGGTGAGGTTCTACCCGATTTCTGTGCCCGGCATACTTGGACATGACTCACATGACCATCTAGGTTTTCCTGAGATATTGTGGTTCAAATGATCAATTTTGACAACATGGGACAACAAATCTTGACCCGAGGGAACTTCCTATGCTTTCCAGCAACCACTTACTGACCCTGATGATTTCCAAACTTTCAAACGCCGCCCGGCGGTTAGGACCCTCAGAGACTGACATGCTTTGGCGTCCGTGGATGAGAAATTTGGCCACCGATTTGGAAGGCTTTGTTCAGGCGCATGTGGTCTAGTTGCATGTTGCATAAGCCCTAAAACCTCCCTAGAATATCCTAGAATATGAACCCAGTTAATTCATTTTAGATATTCTAAACAGTCCGCAATAAACAGTCCACAAGAATTAGTGGAGTGTCCTGGCTTCCAAGTAAATTCTTCCAAGTAAATTCTTGAGGCATTCTTGAGGTTCGGTGAGATCTAAGGTCCGAACTTTGTCCCACGGTTGTCGGACATAATGGATACTCTTTGTGATTTTTTTATGTATTCGTTGTAATCTGGGTAAAACAATATAAAAAATAATAAACCATCCCCAAAACACATTTTTCCCGAGAGCGTCTGAGCGCAGGGTTCTTCCAATAGTGGGGGTCTGTATCTCATCTTCTCATCTTCACACCTTCTCATCTTCACATCTTCTCTCACCACCTTCTCATCTTCACACCTTCTCATCTTCGCATCTTCTCTCACACCTTCTCATCTTCACATCTTCTCTCACACCTTCTCATCTTCACACCTTCTCTCACACCTTCTTATCTTCACATCTTCTCTCACACCTTCTCATCTTCACATCTTCTCTCCCACCTTCTCATCTTCACATCTTCTCTCACACCTTCTCATCTTCACATCTTCTCTCACACCTTCTCATCTTCACATCTTCTCTCACACCTTCTTCTTCATCACACCTTCTCATCTTCATCTTCTCTCACACCTTCTCATCTTCACACCTTCTCTCACACCTTCTCATCTTCACATCTTCTCTCTCTCTCACTCTCTCTCCTTTCTCTCTCTCCTTTCTCTCTCCTTTTTCTCTCTCTCGCCTTCTTTATCTTTCTCTCTTTAGGCCGAGGGTGGTACCGGCGGTGAGCCACGAAACGGCAACCCTTTCGCACGAAATGAGGGTCGATCGGCAAAACTGAGGTAAAATTGCGATTTGACTTGCCCTGGAGCAACCCTTTCGCACGAAATGAGGGTCGATCGGCAAAAACTGAGGTAAAATTGCGATTTGACTTGCCCTGGAGCAACCCTTTCGCACGAAATGAGGGTCGATCGGCAAAAACTGAGGTAAAATTGCGATTTGACTTGCCCTGGAGCAACCCTTTCGCACGAAATGAGGGTCGATCGGCAAAAACTGAGGTAAAATTAATTGCGATTTGACTTGCCCTGGAGCAACCCTTTCGCACGAAATGAGGGTCGATCGGCAAAAACTGAGGTAAAATTGCGATTTGACTTGCCCTGGAGCAACCCTTTCGCACGAAATGAGGGTCGATCGGCAAAAACTGAGGTAAAATTGCGATTTGACTTGCCCCGGAGCAACCTTTTCGCACGAAATGAGGGTCGATCGGCAAAAACTGAGGTAAAATTGCGATTTGACTTGCCCCGGAGCAACCCTTTCGCACGAAATGAGGGTCGATCGGCAAAAACTGAGGTAAAATTGCGATTTGACTTGTGCCGGAGCAACCCTTTCGCACGAAATGAGGGTCGATCGGCAAAAACTGAGGTAAAATTGCGATTTTACTTGTGCCGGAGCAACCCTTTCGCACGAAATGAGGGTCGATCGGCAAAAACTGAGGTAAAATTGCGATTTTTCGTGTGCTGGAGTAACTTTTTCGCACGCAAAGAGGTTTGTGTGTACGAGCGTTTCTGTGTAAAGATGTTTGTGTGTAAAAGTGTTTGTGTGTACAAGTGCATCTGTGTAAAAGTGTTGTGTGTAAAACCTTCTGTGTGTAAAAGTCTTTGTGTGTAAACGGGTTTGTGTGTACGAGTGTTTCTGTGTAAAGATGTTGGTGTGTACAAGTGATTGTATGTAAAATTGCATCTGTTTAAACGTGATTGTGTGTAAAAGCTTCTGTGTGTAAAAAGTGTTTGTGTGTAAACGTGTTTGTGTGTCGGAGTGTTTCGGTGTAAAGATGTTTGTTTGTAAAAGTGTTTGTGTGTACAAGTGCATCTGTGTAAAAGCAATTGTGTGTCAAAGCTTTTGTGTGTAAAAGTGTCTCTGTGTAAAAGGGTTTGTGTGTAAGAGTGTTTCTGTGTAAAGATGTTTGTGTGTAAAAGTGTTTGCGTGTAGAAGTGCATCTGTGTAGAAGTGTCTGTGTGTAAAAGCTTTTGTGTGTAAAAGTGTCTGTGTGTAAAAGGGTTTGTGTCTTAAAGCGTCTCTGTGTAAAATGGTGTGTGTGCACCAGGGTTTCTGTGTAACAGGTGTTTCTGTGTGACAGGGGCAATGTGTGTGTGTAAAAGCAGCCTTGCTTACATGTTTTGTTTTCTTGCCCCGTTGATTCTTTGGCGTGTTTGTTTTCCGGTCATCCCTGTCATGTTCAGGCCTTGCTGGCAAGTTTGACGCAGTCCTGACTTGTTTGCTTGGCATGTCTAGTAGGCATGTTTACTTTTACCCTGAAAGAAACATGAATGGATTAATGAAGTTACATTGGGATTCACTAATTTTGGATTGTGGAGTTTTTGGGTAGCACTTTAGCATCACATTTCCTTGCTGAGGTTGGCACGAACGTTTGTTTGTTTGCTACCGGAACTGTCCGAGCAAACATGACCGCAAGCATGTCCAGATCTTCTTTCGCGCAGACATGTTCGTGTGCATGTTTGCTTGACTTGTTTATGGTTTCGCATGCTTATTTTCCGGTCACCCCTGTCATGTTTCAGGCCTGGCTTACATGTTTTGATTTCTTGCCCCATTGATTGTTTGGCATGTTTGTTATCCGGTCATCTCTGTCATGTGCAGGTCTTGCCGGCGAGTTTTAAGAAATCCTGACTTGTTTGCTTGGCATGTTTAGTAGGCATGTTTAATTTTACCCCCAAAGAGATATGAATGGATTAATGAGGTTACAGTGGGATTCACTCATTTTGGGGTTGTGGAGTTGGTGTGTAATGGGTAACACTTTAGCATCACATTTCTTTGCTGAGGTTGGAAAGATTTTTTTTTGTTAGCTACCTGAAGTGTCCGAGCAAACATGACTGTAAAATTTCCTTGCTGAGGTTGGCACGAACGTTTTTTTGTTTGCTATCGGAACTGTTCGAGCAAACATGACCGCAAGCATTTCATAGTTTTACGTTCGTCGAGACTGGGACATCACTGGATGTTATGCTCGCCATGACATTACACACTTGGTCACGTATTGTGATGTGGTGCATATCATCGAGTCCTAATTAATACCCTTAGGCCTTAGCTTCAGACTTTGATACTGCATATGTAATTATGGCCTGCTCCTATAATTGTTTGAGGGGATAGGATGGTTCCCCCACCCTGGCTGGGGGCCAGGTCGGTTCTTTGCCTGACTCAACGCCTTCGTGACAATTGAATTTGAAAATGAAGTGCATCAGCATGAGTCAACCAGAACTGTCTGAGACTTGCTGATGCACGCATCTTTGCTTGAGACGTTCAGTTTCACCATAGTGCATCCTGTCTCACCATAGTCCTTCGGCGTGAGTCAAGCAGAACGGTCTGAGACTCCATAGATCGAAGAGCAATAAAGCTGCCGATTCCTTTTGCGCATATAGTTGTGCCGGGACATCGCTGAATGTGATCTGTCACAGTCATTAGTCATAGTCCTTGAATGCTTTGCGGGTCCGCATTGTTGGTCTGTGCAGCTAGGTTTGCATGGAGTCAGGGCCCCGGGATGGGATGGATTACATGGATAGGCAGGCTGCTACCACAAAGAGACAAATCGATATATTTTATATTGAGATAGAGATAGAGATATGATATAAAGATGGATGTATGACTGTTAATATCTAGAGATTGATGTATGAGTGTCAAGATTAGAGTTTCCATTCCAGTCACAGTCAGGAGTCAGGACCCTAAACCCAAAAAGAACCAACTTATATCATATTGTCATACTGTGTGTGTCCCAGCCCAGAAACGGTCGCCGCCTGCCAGGTCCGCCCGTTTATACTTCTTTTTGGGGAGATGGCAAACCACCTTGGTTGGGGGGCCCCAAAGCACATGGCCCTCATGACATGTTCATGGATGCTGGTTTCGAGTCACATGGAAATAGGACTTCACCGCACCACCCGGTCGGATTGCTAAGGTGGCCACGACAACGATGACTTCGCTGTTTGTATGTAAAACCGTCTGTGTGTAAAAGCGTTTGTGTGTAGAAGCTTCTGTGTGTAAAAGCGTCTGCGTGTAAAAGCGTCTGTGTGTAAAAGTGTTTGTGTGTACAAGCGTTTGTGTGTAAAAGCAGCTCCTGTGTGTAAAAGGGTCTGTGTGTAAAAGTGTCTGTGTGTAAAGGCTTCTGTGTGTAAAAGCGTCTGCGTGTAAAAGCGTCTATGTGTAAAAGTGTTTGTGTAAAAGTGTTTGTGTGTACAAGTGCCTGTATGTAAAAGCGTCTATGTGTAAAAGCTTCTGTGTGTACAAGCGTTTGTGTGTAAAAGCAGCTCCTGTGTGTAAAAGGGTCTGTCTGTAAAAGTGTCTGTGTGTAAAGGCTTCTGTGTGTAAAAGTGTCTGTGTAGAAGCGTCTGTGTGTAAAAGCTTCTGTATGTAAAAGCTTCTGTATGTAAAAGCTTCTGTCTGTAAAAGCTTCTGTGTGTAAAAGCTTCTGTGGGTAAAAGCTTTGTGTGTAAAAGCGTCTGTGTAAAAGCGTCTCTGTGTAAAAGTGTTTGCGATGCAAACTATTGTCTTGCACTTCTCACTATTTTGTCTTGATACTCCTCTTCTCGACTGCCTATAACACAGCTTTCATATATCGTTTCTAATATTGCGTCTCCATACTAACAAGAGAAGACCCTGCTCCTCTACGCTCTCGGGCCATCCGTCGTCTAGTTTATAGGTGGTGGTATGTTTACCATTCCCAGTTCAATCCAGTTTATTATTGTTTTACCCACATGCACAATGACAATCGCAGCAATGACTCGAAACTTTGGGGTCCGGTGTGGCCCAGGTTGGATCCACCAAAGAACCTCAGGCGTTCAAGAAACCCACCTTAAATATGCAATGGATATGATTGGATTTGTATATCATTCTATATTTATAGGATTTTATAGGCACGTGTACTACAAACCTGGATGAATGTACAAACTATAACTATAATGACCTCACGGTCGCGTCACTGGAATCATGGTTGGTAAGGGGAATCATCCCCAAATGGTATTTCATGGTATTTCGGTTACTTTCAGTTTGGTGAATTATCACAATTCAGCTCAATTCGGCCAGATGAATGTGTGTTTGAAAGAGAGAGCTCATCTTGAGTTATGCTATCAGTGTATTCAACGCCTCCAGGCTCAAAGGTTTCGTCATATAGGCGGGTCCGCGCTATGGACAAAGGTTGGGTTTCCTGAAGCGGGGGTCCGATTCACAAACAAAACGGACAAAATTCCGGTTGACCTATCATAGCAAGGCGTTCAACTGCAACGAGTATTGAACAATTAGATGGTGTAAAACTGACGCAACGAGATGGCGACGGAGAGACACAGACACAAAGTTTGTTCATGGAGCAGAAATAAGATGTCTACCATCCAAACTGAGCAGCGTACCTTGGAAAGATGAGGGTTGAGTTGACTAGCACAAAAAGTTTGAATTCACCGCAGCGGTGAGGATTAACCAGCAACGCATGAGCATGTCGCAGCAATCTTGAATGACCATATAGGAACTTTTAGCAAATAATGTGGATTATGATGTGGATTATGATGGGGAGGTTTGCGAATCTGTGAATTGGGAATGGCTCAAAATGTCCATATAATTCCCGTAAAGTCAGATGAGACAAACAATGACAGTTTGTAGGTCAACATCCTACCATAGCCTACATACCCGACGGCAAGCGATTCAACCTATTGACCTTCAACCAGTCATCCACTCATGACCCCTCCTTACCCTATGCTTATTTAACATAGCTATAGGATGCTATAGGTAAATCATGGTAAATCACACTTGTTATCGTTTGTAAATGGGCTATGGCTTCCGCAGCTATTTTAAATAACGCGATGGTAAACAGCCATGCCCGGCCAGGGGTCTTCGACAGTGACGAGGAGGACGACGACTTTCCTTGGGATGATTTGCGTGCGCCAGCGAGGCGGTGGTGGAATCCACCTGGTGAAGGAAAAGAACCAATCCAATTACCCTCTGGTAAACTAACAACTATGGAAAATCACCATTTTTGATGGGAAAATCCACTACAAATGGCCATTTTCAATAGCTATGTTAAATTACCAGATGGTATTTGAAAACATGGATAAAGAGGTGATGTGGAGAGATATGATGTTTTCCCCCACCTGATTAAATATGACGATTTATTATTGTTTCTTAAGTCACTGTAACTTAAGAAATGTTGTCATTCGGAATTCAACAAGCTGGGGTTTACTTGTTGCCATCCAGTGGCAGCTTATCAGTAAGCAGTCCGACCTCACCTCGATGTATGCATGGATCGACTTGGCAACGGAAAAGGCTTCATTGAAATCCATTTATCCATCAGGTGAATGCAGAAAGCCATGTTGAAATGTTAACTACCAGAGGTGTTTGAATCGAAACCTTACAGCAATTTGGTGACAGAAATAGACTTAGAAGTATAGAATTTTGCCACAGACATGGGTGATGTTTTCTTGCTCTCAAACTTCCAGAGGGGACTGAGGTGACCAACCGGTTTTACCCCTGCAGGTTAGATAGCAGCGGTGATGAGGTGATCTGAGGAGCCGAGTTAACATGTTGGGACGATCATCCAAGTTGATTGCCATCTTCCGTATAGTCGAAACGTAAACCAGATATAACCAGATCAGGTAATACATCAACGTTGGTCTTGGTGTAAGGCGGAAACTCATCGGAGACTCCCTTCGGCGATGGACCTTGGATGTTCCATGTTTCAAGCCTTTGACATGATGTTTTCGTGTATGCAATTGTCGCCTTGAGAACAGTTCAACCAGTTCTAGTTGGATCTGCATCCCAGTCATGCACCACGTTGAAATCCCATTTCCCTCCTATGATATACTCGCAGTTGACCCCTGGTTTAGTGGATCAGATCTATTCATTTGGGGAGCCAGTCATGAGGGGTATTTAATTTTCGGAAGTATGGGGAGATTTGCAGGAACCCCCATTATATGTACGCAGGTAAAGCCACGGTTTCTGGTTAAACTTATCCCTGAAATCCCTTCAAAACCAGCCATTGATTTTTCAATCAGTATAGAAGGACGAAGGATCAATGTGGACACCGAAGCACGCCCCTCCCATTTGATGTTTGTCAGGAGTTTACAAAACGGTGATGCCCTTTGTACAGCTGGGCGTAGCACCAAATACGTCAAACAAGATGGCAGCTGGCTGTGTTGGTCAAGTTGTGTAAGCTAGTGGGTTTAGTTAAAAATCACCTGGTTTAACCTCATACTAAGATCTAACAGGGTTTTGATAAGCCCTTCAGATCCGATTAGCTGATTCATGGTGGTTATATAATAGTGCCCCAACAGAGACCTCATTCCATAAATTTCTTACCTAGCCTACACACTTAAAAATAACATTAGACCATTGCAATCCACTTAAAAATGATTCGTAGCAACAACAACAACAACAACAACAACAACAACCAACACACGACAACAACAACGTCATCAACAACAGGATTGTTCTTCGATTGGGGTGTTTTTTGTGTGTGTGTGTTGACGGTCGACTCAGCTAGGAATCCAAGGGTCCAAGGGTGAGAACATGAGGTATGAAAGATTATGAAAGCAGGTGAAATCATAACTATATATATATATATACATATATATATATATATATTATAACTATAGCAAGAGTAATGATTCGAAATGACATTCTTTCAGGTTGGGGAATGACTATAGTACATTATAGTATGTTATAGTTTAGCCAGGTATGATGGAACTATATGTTTTTGCTAGTCATTAGTCTTAATGTTACGATAGAACGAATTGTGTTCATTGTGATGATGTCCACACTATGACAGCCAGATCGGATCACCCTTTCACCCGCAGCCTGTGTAGAAATACGCCCTGCCAGAAGTGGCGGACCTGGGTGACTGTCCCATGTTGCAATGAACATCAGACCAGTGACTTCTTTGTGTCCTATATTCCAAGCTTCATTTGAACTTAATGGCTGTAAAATATTGTTGAATGTATAAAGATGTATACTGTAAATGGTTAACAGCCACTTCCCACATGGGATAGTCATCAAAGTAGGGAGTTGCAGACCTTAGCTTCGAAGATGGTGAGCTGAACATGTGCGGTTGGCAGTTGATGTCAGGGAGGGCGGAGGGGACTTGTGAAATTGGGGCGGGGTTAGATGTTTTGAAGTGGACATGCTTAGTTGCTCCGTTCTCAGGAGTTGTTCTCACAAAAAAAGGCGAAGATTGGATAGATTGGGGATGCAGATGGATGCAGTATGGATGCAGTATGAAACAAGTTCATTGGAAATCCATGAGGAACTTCAGGATGTTGAGAAGTGGCATGAAGTCTTTGGCACCAGGTCAGGAGCCTTCCTTGGCCTTTGATTTGAGTAGCTTGGCCCAAGGGTCTTGGAAGACGACTTTCCTCTGAAAATGGGTCATTCTCAAGGTCTCCCTTAGGTACATTGTAGGTCTGGCCGCAATTCTACTTCCAAGGTTTGTGGCTTCCAATCAGCATTTTCTGGTTACCCGATCATCCAGGAATCAGCGGTTTTAGCCTAAAAATGGTCAATTGCAAGCCCAGGTTTGCAGATCAAATCCAACATGACTTCTTTGCTTGCTGGCTGTGAACGTTCGTCAGAGCCTATGACAATGTGCACATAGGATCACATACTGTAGGTTCCAATGCACTGCCCACTCAATTTCTGTGACGTACGATCCAGGAGCGCTGCTGTATAGGAAAAAGCACATCCAATAGAAACAAATTGTATATATTGGATATATATATATGATATATGCATTATATACATATACATATACATATACGTGTATATATATACAGCGTCTCATGTATACATAAACGTATGCCAATGTACTACACTAATTCTGGTTTCATTCTTGCATGTCCGTCCCTACAGAGACCTGAGAGGGAAATGGTCATGATGGTCCCGCTGGATAAGAACTTGTACATACTTGGACCAGTTGATTTTTACTAGTAATTGTTTATGTTTTCAAGGCTGAAGTTTGATTTGTCTCCGATTGCACTCAGAGGAAGGAACACTGAACAAAGAAAGTTGCCAAGACTAACTTTGTTTGGCAACCTTTGCTTCATTCACCACACACTGCCACGCCCATTGTATTTGTTCCAATGATATTCAATCATTGATGTTTGGTGTATCTCCACTTTGGGGCGTGTTTTTGGTTCCAGTGAATCAGAGGCGAACCATTAAACAAATACTCTTGAAGCATGTTCACAAGGTAGCCCTTTGAAGTGATCAAACAAGGATATATAGTCAAACAAGAGGAACAGTGTTGGGAGCAGGTCCGCAGGTTGCAGTTGTTGGCTTTCTATGAATTGTCTCATGTTGCTTGTTTAATACCCTCAAATTTTATCATCATATCCATCAGTATGCCCATTAAGACCAATTAAAAATTGTAAATACAATTATATAAAAACCAATGAATAGAATAGACCCATCAACATGCCCAGCTGTTTTTGTTCCCTTCCAGTCTCCCAATTTTTGGCTTTTTCTACAAACCCTCCGGTAGTCAAACACGGCGATTCCAATTGCCAAAGGTGATGACACTCGGGGGAAATATCCCATTAAACCCCTATGATATCCCTATGATTGTTGATGATTGTTGGTATTGGTATATGTATATATATATATCACATTTTGTATTCCATTTTTGGCAATATATAAATGAACATTGTTCCTTTGAAAAAAGCCGCCGTTTCGGCCGAGGTCTCCGCAGCCGTTGGCGTTCACCCTGTGAGGCCTGCGCTGGTGACCAGGCGGAAGCCGAGCAGCATCGAGTTTTCTGACCTAGGATATCCTGGGATAGTTATGCTCCAATAGAGAAAATGATGCTCCAATGTACCCTCTGGTAATTTAACATAGCTATTGAAAACGGCTATTTATAGTGGGTTTTCCCATTAAAAATGGTGATTTTCCATAGTTACGTTAGTTTACCAGAGGGCATACTCCAATTTATGATGTTATCCTGGTACTCATATGTACTAATGATTCGATGTCTATCTCTGAAAACCTGGGATACCACCATTCTATGCTCTAAAATGATCAAGAAGTGCGTTGGAATGTAGCCATATGTAACCTACAAACTCGTATGGATCCAACCCTTCAAACATCAACTTTTGGCCATGCATCCCTGCATCCGCAACCTTTTGTGGTTGAGAATTGATGATAGTTTTGCAGCGTTGTGGATCCCACTTGAATGACTTCCCCAGAGAACTACCTGTGGACTGAATAGAAACTGAAGATCTAACTCCAAGTTCGGGTTTAAGTATGGAACTATCTCCAGGATTCTCCAGGTGGAACATGGCGATGCAAAAATGACACATTCGGCAATTTGTCGTACTGGAAGAATTCTAAGAAATGGACGATTTCCCTTTGCCATCGACGGCGGTTTCACGTAGGTGAATCCTGTGGTGGATCCACTTGATGCTTTGCTTCTTTGCTTCATCATTGCATCATCTTTTAATATTTTTTAGATTTAGATAGATTTAGATATTGGGTTTACATGGATTTACCAATTAACATACTGATTTTCCATAGCTATGTTAGTAGTTGCCGGAGGGTATTTCTAGATTCTGGATGATGTTTGATTTAGATGATTTTTTGAGCTGGTTACGCCACTGCAGATTGCCAGGAATTTGTTGCTCCAGCTGTTTCCAGGAGGATTTTCCCTGTTTTTGAGCTGCCTTCCAGGCCGTATCTTCACGTCTCAGTCAACCTGCAGGCGGTGTTTCGAGAGCGACCAGCTGTTTGATGTTCGCGACGGATCATGCAGGAAACCATAGGAAGATCTATGGAATTACTTATATACTTTGCTTAATAGTCCACAATCACTCTTAACGATCATCTAACAATAACTGCACTCCCCAATTTCCTACTAAGCACCAACAAGGCAAGATTATGGAATACTCAGTGACTTTTAATGGGAACATCTAACATCCAAATGCTTTCCTGCAAATATGTGCGAAAATCAAACCAGTAAATCATCCAGTCATACGGAGTCTTTTCCGGGACCGTTTTTGGTTTTTGGGATTTATGGGAACCAACACTTGGCAATGACCCTGCAATGGGATGCCAACTAGGAAAGTATATGAACATATATGAACATATGGGATAGTATAGTCGGTGGGAACAACAATATGCTCCGCAAGCTTCATTTCCACCGGAAAGACCCACGATGGAGACCATGGAGCTGATGAAACACATGGATATCAGGATTCAAATGGATACAGTGTTCACATGTGTTCACCTTATAGGGAAACAGAGCCAGGATCTTGGGCGAACCCTGGGAATTTCCTCAGCCATCTTCGGCCGGGAGTTGCAACTTGACGCCGCCATGGCCCCAACGTCCACGTCCCGCCACGTCGCAGCGCTCGCAGTTGCGGTGGCTGCGGCCAACGCGGCGAAATTTGATGTGATCCTCTATGGTGCTGCTGCTTGGCGCTGGAAGATCTTGGAAGGATGTGGATGAGGGCGATCCAGATGATTTGGAAGAGAATGATGAGGATAAGGATGAAGCAGAAAAGGAAAAAACATGATAAACCAAATAAGGAATGCTAAGGATATGATGTTGATGATGAGTACAAGCTAAGGATGACAAGGATGAGGATGATGATCTTCACATCAAATCTTGCAATCCTTGAGAAAGCGATGGAGAGAGAGATATAGAGAGAGAGAGAGGTATACCCCTACACAAGTCTCCACAAACGCATTGTAATCACATTTTTTTCGGTAAGAATGTGTACATATATATATATATATATGATATAATTATATATATATATGATATAATTATATATATGATATAATTATATATATATGTAATTATATATAATTATATATATCTATATATATATATTATACATGTTTAACGCCCACATGCAAAGTAGCATTTGTATGCATTTGCTTGTATACATATGCATGCAATTGTATGCATGTGCATAAGCTTATCGTCGCAGTCGCCAACATCGAAGATCCAACGTGCATCATCCATTCTCTCCCCTTCCCTCAACACCATTTATGTATGTTTACCCAACAGTGTCAATGCAATACCATTAGCACGATGAACACTTATATCAAGTATCTACAGTGTGGTAGATTTACGTGTCCAGTGTCCAGTGCTTGTTCTGAGCAGTTCTGAGCTAGAGGTATCATGAAGTATCCATGTTTTTCTAATAAATGACTCTAAATGGTGAACCAAGGGGCCACTACGAGTCTAAGAGTTTCCCAACCACAAGATTTAGTAGCTTGAATTCTCATATTCCATATCAATATCACTATATTTATATATATGGATGTTGTAGATTTACATTTTGCACATGCCAACTATGACCGGATGCCCCACAGCCCAGGACGGCTGCGTGGGTCATTTCGCTGCTGGGCACTTGGCTCAGCAGGGCAACTTGAGCTGGGCCGTGGCAGGTAGCGCTTCGGATCGCAGCTGAAAACGAACCCCTTTGGGAAATCAGCAGCAACTAATCAAATTATTGATTTTAGATGGGGATTTACCATGATTTACCTACGATCCTAAAGATGGGGTTTAAGATTTCTGCCTATGAACCTATTAAAGATTGGTTTTGTTGAAAGGTTTTTGGATGATTTACCTGTGAGAAAAATCCGCATATAAAATTAAAACTAGATAGAAATGGCCCATTTACTTCGATGATCTACCGTAGAAACTTAAGGGATTTTCCATACCAGAGGGTAATGATATGAAATGATTATGGGGTGTGCCTTGTATGGCCCGCAACGATGGCTATCGGTTAAACGGGTTCAATTTTGAGACCCAAGGACCCACAGTGTTTGGTCATGTTGAATAGTAAACCGCCAAGCTTGGGATACGCGATGACTGGACCAATATATATATATATAATTATATATAGCACTAATGCTGCCAAGTCAGGATGAATAAGTTTGATTTGCGCTTGTGACTTGGACAAGAAGAACTGGGACTAAAGAAATAATCTGTGCAGCTGAGGGATTTCACAGCACCCCTTGCTTGTTACCAGTGGGGACATCAAAAAAACATAGCCTAGATTAGTAGGTTTTATATAATGTTACATCCTCCTCCTTTGCTCAAATTTCTGCATCTTTTTGTCATTTCCTCTCAACAGTTGAAAAGATGGTCCATCAGGAAACCGTTCCCACTTGGACGCCGTGGTCTCCGGCCTGACGGACGTGAAGTCGAAACCGGAGGTGATCGTGGCATCCCTGGACAACAGCAGCGCAGCTGTGCCCGAAACGGTGGGTGTTGCTGGGGGGTGGTTCAGATCGGTGGGAAAACTTGGTATTTTGACGGGCAAGCCACGACATTCAAACCATCTAGAATTAATTTAGGGATACATCTGTATATATATATATATATATGTATTTATATGTAAATATGTGTGTATTATATATATATATTTATTTATTTATTTATTTAACAAAGATAATTATACATATTATGACATACAATACAATACACTACACCACACTACAATACAATACAATACAATACAATACAATACATATGTATAGTGTGCGTAGTTTCAACCATGGACTTGGGATGCTGATCCGAGTGACTGTAGATAACTGTGTGTCCCGGTTACACCAGAGATTGTTTTGGATTTGCTGAAGGTGATCCTTTTCTTTTCCTGTTCGTCAATCCACCATGCGTTGAATCTACTGGATTTATTCTGGGACCCCTCAAGCAAATCCAAGCTTAGCAGGCAGTCAGCTTGTGCTGCCTACGTGATGCCAAGCAAAAAAGACAAAAACACTTTCCTGGCGCATCAAGCATCTAGCCAACGGCTCAATGGTTGATGGTATTCTCATCCTATCACGCGAATCCCTGGGCCTGCTCTGAATTACAGCATAATCTCAGGATGATCAACATACCTGGTTGGTGGTCTGGAACATTTTTTATTTTTCCAGGTATTGGGAATAATCACACCAACTGACTAATATTTTTCAGAGGGGTTGAAACCACCAACCAGATACGATTGTCGACCATCAATGGGTCGGTTTAAGGAAACAAGAATGCAGGAAACCCATGTTTTTTTTGTTCCTATTGTGTTTCCCATGAAACATATAAAACACATATATATATATATATATTTATATAATATGTATACAGTATATTGATATATTTATATTTATATATTGGATATATATATATAGGGGTTTTCCATGGGTTCCCTGGTTCCCTGTAGATTTTCCCAGTTGAGAGGGACCAAGCTGAGGATCCAAAGACTTGGTTGAAGGACACCACAGCTGTGATCACTGCAGCTGGACCCTTCAGTATTCATGGAGGCTGACGGTCGGTTGCCTTGAAGCTTTTCGGGCACAGCAAAGGCATGTGTCACTCAATAGTTCAATGGGAAATTCAGGATCCTAAAATGGAGGTACGTTAGTACCATCTGTACCATATAGTTAAGGCCATATTTGGTGGGGATATTCCCTTACATAAGCCTTATATAGGCCTTATATATAATATATTGTAGGTACCTCCAATTCAGGTTCCTGAATTCCCATTGAATAGTATTGAAGATGAACTGAAATTTGTTTCATCCTATTTCTATATTACTATAATACGACTACTAACTACTATTGTTAAATTACTATTTATTGTTTCCGACAGTTTGGATAGTCAGCCACTCCAAGGCCGCACTTGTCATGGTTTGATGAGTTGAATTTGGCCCAATAATACGTGAATGATTTACCTATAATTTCAAAAACTTAATGTAGTAACAGAACAATAGTGACACTTGAAAAACAAACACTGTGATAATAATAGAACCACCTCTGGTTTCAAGTGTTTCAAGTGTTTCAATCCTTCAAATTCTGTTGAAAATTGATTTTCCAGTCTAGCCATTCCCCAAAGAGATGCCGAAAAGTGTGAAACCAGGAGAATTTTGTCAGACATATTCCAGGTTTCTATCCAGATTTCATGTTTTTTTTCTATGTCCAGGTTTCCAAAGTATTTTTCTAGAGACGGTTTTTTCTAATTTTTCTATTTGTTAATGGGTTTATTTATCCATTTATAGTAGCATTTTGGGTTTACCACCCGGACCATCCGGCGAGGTGAGGTACTTCTGCGCGCAGCCGCCGAACTGGGCGTGCATTACGCGGACACCAGCGACGAGCACCGCGGCACAGATGGAACATGGAGGTTTCCCCAAAATGGGGAAATGGGGGGAATCATTAAGCCATAGTTACCCCATTTCAACGGGAATTTCTGAGGAAAACCCCCTGGAAAGCAGGAAACCCCCAAATTGGGAACTGCAAGCAAAAATGCTAGATTGATATGGATTAAAACATACTGAATGGTGGATGAGTGATGGTGAGATTGCAGGGAATCTTTCCCAAATGGCGTATAATAGCTATTTGGGTGTTTTTTTCTTGGTGTTAAATAATTCAGCCAGATTCATGGGGTAAACTCGATAAACTGGTGGATTAAGGACAATGAAGTGGAACATACTGAAACCCCGGTGATCATTGAGGGACCATTTGACAAAACCATTCACAATATGGGTTCACTCCTGTTTGGGATGACGTAACAGGACCCCAAATGGTTGGTTGCTGGGATAGTGTAATAGGATGCAATACACCATTGCTAGATACAGTAAATATGGATAAATATCAATCAACATCAGCATCACAGGCATGCAAAATCCAACACGATTTGGACACCCCCATGTTTCGCTTGGACAATGCTTGCCGCCGACGACTTTTGGATTGCCAAAGTGGTGCGTTGCAGATATTCCCAACAGATCCCCGTGTTTAGGCGAGTCAACAACACCCTTGCTGGTTTAAGGGAACTATTTGCTGTCTAGCATTCTTTACTAGTCAAATCCAACCCTACCCATTTGTGCTTAGGATAGTAGATTAATCCATGGTTAACCATGAATAGTTACCATGGATTGTACCTATATATATATAATTAATTAGATATGTGATATGTGTATGTAGCCGAAATATCTTCAACCAACCAGCCTTCCTTCCTGTTGTTGGGGTGATGGCATTTGTAGGTTTTATTGGCAGCGCTGGATGATCGACCGCTACAACCAGCGGGCTCAAGACTCTGGAGCCAAGGCGAATAGTGAAAGGGGACTCAGGGAATCATCCCGATATAGCCTGATTTCGGGTCAAGTACTGTAACCCATATGTTTTATATAAAACAGACGGGAGATCATAAGCCTTTTTTTTGGCTTCGACATAAGTTTGGACTAGTTTTGATCATTCAATTGAAGGCAGGTCATTCTGAGGGTCTTTGGGTATCTATCCGCAGGTCCCTGATGTCATGGGCTCAGACAACTCTTCCATCCTTACTCTCCCGGTTCATGGCATAGGTCCCATGTTTCCCATTTTCTATGTAAAGTACTGTGGTTGTGGAAACATCACGTTTGGTGTGCTCCAAAAAAAAAACATAGAGAGGGAGATGCACGTCTTCCAGAGGTTGGCAACCCCGGTTGATTAGTCATGATCCAGCGTTAGGTGGGAGAGCCATGGCAATCCAGGAATATCCAGGACGGCAAAAAGGAAACCGTTTTCAGCATGTCTCCACTTACCAGTTCCTAGGTCCTAGGTAGGATAAGTGAATTGGAACAGTGGATCATCGGATCCAAGATTTAAAAAAAGAACAGAAAACAACAGCAGTGTCACAAACCAAATCAGATCATCAGGTCAAATATATTGGACATTCATCTACTTCACCTCAGCAGTTTTTCATTGACCATTAAAAAGCAAAAAAAAACATATGCCTCAGCAGTTTTTCATTGACCATTAAAGAACATACTGTATGATACTGTATGTATGATTGTATGGTGTTCTTTCGGTAATGACAAGGGTTTCCAGCAAATCTCTGGATCTCAGATGGTTCTCTCCAGCGGTTTCTGCGTCTTGGCCGGGGACCTGGGTGCCCAACTGGCCCTCCGCGACCTCTCCGACGTCGGTGGCGATCTGCGGCTGGACGCGTGGCTGGAGGGCTACAACGGCGGCGTGAGCGCCGGGGTGATCCACACCGCAGAGGCCATGAAGAAGGCGAAGTTTCCCAAGGACCACGGGGAGATGACGGGGGCTTGAAGAACTCCAAATTTTCATGGGGATATATGGGGATTAATAAGCATGGAAATAATGGGATTAATGGTGGGATTTAACTCCATACTGTAAATTATTGAAATTGGGTTCGAGAATGGAATTAAGAAATGGAATTACGTCCAGGAATGGATGAACCCACTCCAGTTACTGTAGAAAGCTGTATGCACGTCCATGCCTAGCCCGGAGAACGCGTATGGCAGGGCATGTTCATGGCTGGGGGTTACAACTACTGGGTTTTTACGGAGTAACTGGGTTACATGACACGTTGGCCATTTGTGGGGGAGAGCTAGCAAGTAGTTAGTCGCACCTTGGCAGTTTGCACGGTAGTACTTGGACGCCGAGTACTGGGAATGTAAAAGGCATGTACTGGCCAAAAGAAGGATCTTCGTGGAGTCTTGCTTGATCACTTAATACTGCATGCCCCAGGAATGGGAGACGGATCCCTATGTGATGCTTGCATGCAGAACAGTGGGCGTCAAGGGGGTTGTTCCTTCTAAACACCCAGGGAGAAACAAAGAACACGGCAGATATGTGTGATTCGGAGTGACTTGGGGATTTTGGCACGCTGTTTGACCAAATCCTGATATCTCCGAAATCATCCAAAGACTGGGCAGTGTAGTTGAATGGTTCATTAGTTCATATTTGTAAATTAGTCTAAATTGTGTGTATATGGTTGTAGGGTCGGTATATACTCATTAACCCTGAAGTGGCTGTGCCCCTGCAGCCCTGAGGTTGGCCCCCAACGCCAGTGCCGAGTTGCGAAAGGACTCCAAGGTGCTCCGATCGTCCCAGGAAAATAGATGAGAAACCATTTTGGATTTGTTAAAGGATTATATATTTTCCCTTGCCAAGTTGTGGTTTGTCTTGAGATTTCAAGAGTGCAAGCCAAATGAAGCCAATGCAAACCACTAAAGGACACGACTGACAGTATCGTGTCATATAATCATGTCTATCTATAGTCTATGTTTAGTAGCAACGACGCTATTTTAGTGTTTTAGGGGTACCTAATTGTGATCCATATTCATATGGCCATATGGCCCATATGATCTTCGCTTCCCATGCCGCGAGGTGGAGGGGATGAGGTATCCTTCCTGGGTCTCAGGGGAAGGCGAGGGATTTTGTCCGGTTATCCGCAGGTGTAAAATGGGGGTTACCCCAGATCCAATCATTGACCATTTTAGCAGTGAAACCCCACGGTTTCGGCGATCCCCCATTTTTGGAAACCCCCGTATGGAAGTTGTGCACATGCCTGATATTGCCTGAGAACGCGGTATGAATTGCAGTATACACATGTATACGCACATGCAGAAAACTGATCATTCACAAAGATCATCAAGGATCTTTTGAATCAGTCACTCTATATGGATCCAATGACAGATGTGGTTGAGAGAAGCACATATCTAGTACTGCTCTCAGGGAACATCCAAAAATGTCCAGAGTGCAGTTGTGGGTTGGACACCGCAGAAGAAACCAAGGATGGACCCCCCCAAAAAAGCTCACTCTCATCTCCCAATCGTCTTTGGTTGGGCTTGTGAGCTGAGAAATCTAGTCAGTCATAGGAAATTCACGGAGAAATTGGGGAGGTAAACTGGATTGTCAACAACTAAGTGGCAGTTCGCTAGCACCATTTTCGCCAACGAGATGGAAAAGGTAGCAGCCCTTGATATACATTGTCTATCATAGTTTTTTTTTTTTTTAATTTAGTGTGTTTTTCAGCTATACACATTTATAATCATTTATACACAACAGTCCCATATAGTTACAACATGTTGCATGTTACAGCATCCTCAGGAAGAGCCCTTAAGTATCCTTAAGTGTACCGGCACAAGGTTGTGCCTCCTAATGTTAAACACCCCATTCTATGGTCCCAACATTTGTGTTTCCAACAAAAATGATTCCTAGCGGATGTTAAATATGCATAAGAGGATGGAATTGATGTTGGTTATATAACCATGATATGCACGTATTGGTTATTTGGTGATATCCCGATTGACAGGAGATGGGATTTGCTTAGCTTGACTCTAAACCAACTTGACTAAACCAATCCATGATTATAGGAGGGTAAGCTATTTCTTAAGAACTACAAATGGCCATGTTCAATAGCTATGTGACATTACCAAAGGGCATAAATGGTATAAGCCAGACGAAGTCTTTCTGGACATCCACCTTTTCATCCTTTTCCACAGTTATGGCCATTTATTAGTTATAACATGTTATAACTGCTTATTTATTTCTAATTATACATTCTATAAATGGTGTTTTGTTAGTCGTACTTGTAACTGGTATTTCGGGCAATAACTGCAGGCTTGATGGTCTCCAACATTTTCGGCCCCTATGACGCGCGGCTTCTGCGCCGCAGCTTCGTGCACTTGAAGCAAGCCGTGACGTTGCGCGTGGGCGCCACCTCTGGAATGCGACTGGTCGAAAAATCCAAGGGAAACATGATAACCCGAAAGATAGAAAAGTAAACGTCACTAGTTGGTAGGAATTTACTTTTTTTTCCTGTTGTTTTGTTGGGAATACTATTTAAGATCCTTATTGCTTTGGTAGATTCATACATTAATTGAGGGTTTATGCACGTTTGGAGTTCTCAGCTTAGAAATGCTTGGACACCCTCTTGCGTTCATCACACAAGGAGGATGTGTTGGTGAAAGACTTCAATTCAATTGTTCAATCTTCAGCGCGTTTGGATTGGGTCCACACAAATTGCAGTAGGGACCTGTAGGGCATTTCATTTTGGAGAAAAGAAATAAGAGGGAGATCTACAGTGACAGAAAACCTGCGGTTTCGCCTTTGTAGGTGCATTTCCTGTAGATGTTCATGGAACAATGTAACATATCCAAATGAGCTTGGCCGCGCCGTTAAAGCTTCCAGGTATCCCAAGTGGGCCGCCTTCATCGCTGAACACCCGGGCAGTTGGTCGAAGTTGACCCAATGCCCCACTGACAGTGTGTACAAGGAGCGGCTACCAGATTCATGTTGGCGGTGTGATTTTTTTCAACCATAAGAAAACTGCATGGAGATGATGCTGATTATGATGATGATGATGATGAGGATGATGCTGATGATGATGATGATGACGATGACGGTGATGTTTATGCCTACGGCTGCAAAACCGTACGTGCGTTTTGCTACTGTTTTGAGGATTGCTCTTTGTCTTGGGGTTGGGGTGGGGTGGAACACGCTCTTTCCTAACATCACTTGCGTAGCACGCTCTGCATGTTACGCTCTGCACTTTTTCCATGTGACGTCTAACACGCTCTGCATGTCACGCTCTGCACTGTTTCCATGTGACTTCTAACACGCTCTGGATGTTACGCTCTGCACTGTTTCCACTTGACTTCTAACACGCTCTGCATGTTACGCTCTGCACTTTTTCCATGTGACTTCTAACACGCTGTGCCTAGCAATTTGCAGACAAAAGCAGGGCAGAACAAAGATGTCATGCTGTACCTGCGTTGCTGGCAATGGCGTTATGAGTGCCATAATGGCAACTTGCTGTCGAAGACAGCTTCCAAACTGATGGATCGCTGAGCCGACGATGGCTGTTAAAAAAACTCGTCGAATCCACGTCTGATGCACATGGTATTTACAAGGATTTGTCAAATTTCAAAAGATTTTGAATCTTGAAGCCACTTTTTTTCACCAAAATTGAGTTATCAAAAGAGTTCGGAACAGCATTCTATATCGAAAATTACAGGTGATTCTGACGGTCCTATTCAGCAAACCCTCAAAACGCTCGCGCGGTTTCGCATCCGCCGGGATGTTTATGATGATGATGATGATGATGATGATGACGACGACGACGACGATGATGATGATGACGATGATGGTGATCCATCAGAGCTATATTGTACTACATGTTGTTTTTTATGATCCATGAAGTCTATAATTCAACTGCTATAATTCAACTGTCGACATGCAATCATGACCCCCAATGGCCAATAGTTATTTGTGAGGATTTGGGTCAAATCAGTCGGGCAACTCTTTCCAGGATCCACAGAACATTATGGTCATGTTTTCTGAGCAGATTCTTGGGGAAATTCAGAGTTATGTTAGATTTAAGATGGAAAACACGGGTTTATGCCATGATTCACGGGGATGTAACCAACCCTTCCTAACCCGACCCTCCCAATAATACGGGTCAATGGTGGTACCTTGATGATATTGAGGGTGTGTTAACCTATATTCACCACCAACAACCACAACAATAAGGACCACTTTTCACCATCCAATCCATTCATACTGGGGGGCAACCTTTGTGCCCCCCCCAGTTCAGTGCATCAGGACGGCTCCTGGTGGTACCGCTTCCGCGCCATGGCCGCTTCCGGTGCCGCGTCCGGTGGTGCCGCTTCCCGCGTGTCGCAGGTCTTGCTGTCGGGCCATGGGGATCCGGGCTATCACTTCACCGCGCTGGGCCTGGCGGAGACGGGGCTCTGCCTGGCGGGGAAGACCCCAGGCTGCCTCAAGTGGCCCAGATGAAGATGGGAACTGGGGTTGGATCTCAAGAAGTGGACCAAAGTTAGTTTGTTTTTCCTTTTGACGGGGGGAATATGTAAGAGCACTTCAATGGGAAAACCTATGAAAACCCAATATTTTATGCTAACATATTATTCCCTCATTTTTCTTTACTGAATATAACTAAACTATACTAAACTAAATCAATGAAACTGATTTGAAGTGAGTAGTACAGCTCTGTGTTGATTCAACACTTATCACATTTGACCACCGGATCTTGAACCATGGGATCATGCTGGCGCCAAGGCAGAATACACCTGGCGGTGTGTACACCCCCATGTCAGCCTTGGAGCCAGATGTGCTGATGCTTGGCGAGAGCTACGGGGTTGTCCAGATGCCACTTCCTGGTTGTTTGAACATGGTGTGTATATATAATTATATATATATATAAAGTGATATATAAATAATTATGTTATATACATACATATTATATCAAATTATAATTACATGTTAAAAGTGTTTTTGTTCTTCATATTGATGTTTAATTAAATACAGTGATGAATTATTTTTTACTATATATATATAGATACATGTGTATAATATATATATATATTTATTTATTTATAACATAAATATGAATATGTACGTATTGCACATATAGTCAGATATAGTCAGTAGTTATATATGTTGTACAAACATGTGCCAAACTCCTCGGTTCAGGACAGCTCGCCTGGAAAGCATTGACCTGTTGAAAGTGGAGAAACCCAAAGCCACCGTAGGCGTGACACAGGTCATCATTTAGGCGTGACATGGCACCATGTTGCACCATGATATAGCAATACAACTTGGAGCACAGCCAAAGTGGCAGAATGCCAAAGTTGCCACAGCTGGTCTATTTCTGAAAGTTGCTGAAAATACACATAACAATCAGATCATAACGTGGTTTCATCATTTGGAACAGAAGCCGCAAGGGTTATTGCCATGTGTTTCCATCATGTTCTCAGCATACCGACCAACCTGTAGCACCAGAGCGCTGCAGTGAAAACCCCTTTCGCGCCGAAGGCGCCAGCTAGAAATGGAGCGCCGAGCTGTTGGAATGGGGGGGATGAGAACGCACTGCGGTACATCAACATGATCAACGGAGTTCAACATTGTAATCATCCGATTCCTTTTTGTCGGATAAAAACTATACTTTCCTTGATCCTTGAAGAGTCAACAAAAATGAGTTGGCAAGCCGACATGAGGTCCTTTTTGCACCCAGGTGAGCGGGCCAAAAGTAGCACCCCAGTGGCTTGATCCCATGGCCCACTGGCTGAACCAATGTTTTTCCCAACTTAGACCCATTCGATATCCCCAAAAAGCAAGCCACACCCTGGATCAGATACCCCCAGCAAATTAACATGCAAAATAGACTGCAGATATGTGTTTTATATATATATATGTATTGTTCATTGGTACCAAATCTATGTTGGTTTGCTTGAGGGTGTATTTTTATCATGATTTGGTTTGCACATGGAGTTACGTGGTACCCACTGGTTCGGCAGGTCACATCTTTGTTGCTACTTGGACTCGGGGCGACTCGGGGCAGTGTCGGTGTGTCTTTTTTGGGCTTCAAATGCAATAAGAAAGCTACTCTCCAGTGGTTTTGGGGAACAAAGACTATAGATATTCAGATGTCCTATTGAATGGGGGGCGAATTAATGAGCTACTGAAAGTGTGCCAACCACATGATAGTTTATAGGCTTGATTGAACATGGGATAGTTTTAACGCGGAAATATGACGTGCCCTATTTTTGATTATTTTTCCGACAAACCCTGGCCCAGCATGGGTCAGAAAATATGGTACCTCCATTCCCAACAGATGATCACCATGCGTCCAGGCCAATTCAATTGGCAGTTTGGCATGGGTTTGGGGTATAACTCATGTTCGATCAAACCCATATCCAGCAGAATCAATATGGTGATATGTGTGTTTATGTGGCTTGCAGTCTAGTGACCGTTGATGTTTGGTTGTTTCATTCTTGTTGATGCACCATTTTATACCTTAGATGATCACTTGAATTGGTTCTCTCTCACATTTATATATACATGTAATATTGTGTATATATATATATGAATATGGATAAACACAGGCACTACAAATAATATTGTATATATATATATATTTATAATTATATATACATGTATGAGAGAGGACACTCCGACCCTCCAAGACCCCCAAGGGTGCGGGAGCCTATGAGGACTCCACGCAGGAAATTGTTCAAACACCTTCCTCTTTTCAAGACTTAAGCTGACTTAAGTCAGCTTGTGTTTTTGCAAAAAAATCTTGCATAAAACATGTACGTATATATATATATATAGAGAGAGAGAGGGCGATGGAGAGAGAGAGAGAGAGAGATATATATATATAATGTTGACGTGCTATTAATAAACCTCCCCCCTGCCCCCCCCAAACATTAAGAGCATGAAAATAATGTTTAGGCCAAACATTGGCCGGGGGTCCCTGGAAAATTTTCCAGACCTATGTGGCGCCGAACAAATTGCCTAATTGAAAACGAATAATTACATAAGTGGACTTTCTTTCCATTTTTGTATTCCCAAAATGAATTGCCTAATTGAAAACGAATACATAAGTGAAACCCCTATCCACCCTAGCATTCCCAAAATGAATTGCCTAATTGAAAACGGATGGTTCAAATAGGAAAGGAATTGAGAAACAAATCCAACAAAAATTTAGACCCCTGAAATCCAAATACTTTATTTAGGGGGTGCAAACATTAATTATTATTTTGATGTTAAGGGTCTTTAGGACTACCCCATTTGCGCGATTGATTTTTTGCATTTTTTTGAAAGGGTTTAGTACGGAAACTAACCATTTGAGCCTTCTTGTTTTTCCCGAGAGCGTCTGAGCGCAGGGTTCTTCCAATAGTGGGGGTCTGTAAAACATCTTCTCATCTTCACATCTCATCTTCGCATTCTCTCATCTTCACATCTTCTCATCATCTTCACATCTTTTCATCTTCACATCCTCTCATCTTCACATCCTCTCATCTTCACATCCTCTCATCTTCACATCTCATCTTTACATCCTCTCATCTTCACATCCTCTCATCTTCACATCTGCTCATCTTCACATCCTCTCATCTTCACATCCTCTCATCTTCACATCTGCTCATCTTCACACCTTCCCATCTTCACATCTGCTCATCTTCACACCTTCCCATCTTCACATCTTCTCATCTTCACATCTGCTCATCTTCACATCTTCACACCTTCCCATCTTCACATCTGCTCATCTTCACATCTTCTCATCTTCACATCTTCTCATCTTCACATCTGCTCATCTTCACATCTGCTCATCTTCACATCTGCTCATCTTCACATCTGCTCATCTTCACACCTTCTTCACATCTTCTCATCTTCACATCTGCTCATCTTCACATCTGCTCATCTTCACATCTGCTCATCTTCACATCTGCTCATCTTCACACTTCTTATCTTCACACCTGCTCACCTTCTCTCACGCCTTCTTTTTATCTTTCTCTCTTAAGGCCGAGGGTGGTGCCGGCGGCGAGTCACGAAACGTCAACCCTTTCGCACGAAATGAGGGTCGATCGGCAAAAACTGAGGTAAAATTGCGATTTGACTTGTCCTGGAGCAACCCTTTCGCACGAAATGAGGGTCGATCGGCAAAAACTGAGGTAAAATTGCGATTTGACTTGTGCCGGAGCAACCCTTTCGCACGAAATGAGGGTCGATCGGCAAAAACTGAGGTAAAATTGCGATTTGACTTGCCCCGGAGCAACCCTTTCGCACGAAATGAGGGTCGATCGGCAAAAACTGAGGTAAAATTGCGATTTTACTTGTGCCGGAGCAACCCTTTCGCACGAAATGAGGGTCGATCGGTAGAAACTGAGGTAAAATTGCGATTTTTCCTGTGCCGGAGCAACCCTTTCGTCTGTGTGTAAAAGCGTCTGTGTGTAAAAGCGTCTGTGTGCAAAAGCTTCTGTGTGTAAAAGCGTCTCTGTGTGTAAAAGTCTCTGTGTGTAAAAGCGTCTGTGTGTCAAAGCGTCTGTGTGTAAAAGCGTCTGTGTGTAAAAGTGTTTGTGTGTAAAAGTGTTTGTGTAAAAGCGTTTGTGTGTAAAAACCTCTGTGTGTAAATGTGTTTGTGTGTCAAAGCGTCTGTGTGTAAAAAGCGTCTGTGTGTAAAAAGCGTCTGTGTGTAAAAGCGTTTGTGTGTAAAAGCGTCTGTGTGTCAAAGCGTTTGTATGTAAAAAGTGTCTGTGTGTAAAAAGCTTCTGTATGTAAAAGCTTCTGTGTGTAAAAGCTTCTGTGGGTAAAAGCTTTGTGTGTAAAAGCGTCTGTGTGTAAAAGTGTCTGTGTGTCAAAGCGTTTGTGTGTAAAAGCGTCTGTGTGTAAAAGTGTTTGTATGTAAAAGCTTCTGTGTGTAAAAGCTTCTGTATGTAAAAGCTTCTGTGTGTAAAAGCTTCTGTGGGTAAAAGCTTTGTGTGTAAAAGCGTCTGTGTAAAAGCGTCTGTGTGTAAAAGTGTTTGCGATGCAAACTATTGTCTTGCACTTCTCACTATTTTGTCTTGATACTCCTCTTCTCGACTGCCTATAACACAGCTTTCATATATCGTTTCTAAAATTGCATCTCCATACTAACAAGAGAAGACCCTGCTCCTCTACGCTCTCGGGCCATCCGTCGTCTAGTTTTCCAACTCCAGAACTTCCCAGGAAAGCAATTGAGAAAGGGTTTCAATAGGAAAGCAATTGAGAAACGAGTCCAACCACCAAAAAAAGTCCTGAGATCAAAATACTTTGTTTAGGGGGGTGGCAAAATTCATTTTTATTTAAATGTTAGTGGCTCCAGGGCCGCGGAAAAAAACAGAAAAAACGGAAAAAATAACGGGAAAAAAAAACGAGAAAAAAAAACAGGAAACAAACTGAACAAAAAAACGGGAAAAAATATCAAAAATCGGTTGGCGGGCGTACTTTATTATTACGGGTGGTTTATTAACGGCATGTGGACATTAAACTTGTAGTCCCATATCACCCTGTTCGTTGAACTTAGCAGCTTACAGATATTGCTACACTATTTGTGGGGTTAGCCGTCCCCATGACATGATCTCCGCTGTGAAAAGATCAGAGGCATCACGGCTTGGGAGCAACAAAAAAGAATATGGGTTACCACAATCGGTGCAGATGGAGATGAACATTTCATGGCAGATATGTCTATAGGATTCTATGGTTAATGGATTTTGATGGTGCTTATAAACCAACTTCGAGCTCTGTGGGAACTTTTGATAAGTTTCACTTGTTTCTATGTGTTTTCTCACAAAGGTGTGAAACATCATATCCAAACTGAAATTTGCAGCGTTCAGTTTCTCCAATGCAACCACCTCGGGCGTCTCGCGACCTGGCCTTTGGATCCTTTGGCCTGGTAGCCCATGGGCCCAATGGGGCTCGGCTACTCTCCGTGATCAATGGGTTTCTTTAAGGGAACATTTGGAGGAAATCATTGCTATCACCATCAAACACGAGGGTTCATGTAGTGTACATGTTCCATCATGTTCCCTCAAACACTTCGACTAAGGGTGGTTTCTGGATGGGAGTAGATCAAAATCCAATGGAAGTTCTTGGCAAGATCGCAAAAACATCAATCGAATGACCGAATATGGTGGTCGCGCGGTGGATTGTAAACTGAGAAAATGTTGGGGTAGTGCTCCATACCCAACTGTTCGGGGCTGAACTGTTTCATTTAGGGCAATGGTTTTTCCGAGAATCTCCAGTTGGGAGGCCACTAGGCTGTTTGGAAAGTAACCAGTTTCCATAGGAAGAGCCTCCTGGGTCATGGTCTACTTGCGCGGTTGGTGCAGGTCGGATATGCTGTTCACTCTGTGTTCGTACAGTGTTCATTCACTTCTTCAGTCACTTGAGGGTCACTGCAATGGAGGCAGCGGGCCTATCATATACGATTTTTTTCGCAAATGCAGCCGTCGGACACCGGGGCGGCCAGCAGCAAAAACTACAATGTACATGTGTAAATGCATGTGAAACATTATGAAACCATTCTCATTTAGGTTGTCATCGGATTAAGACAGTTTATGAAAGTGATTAATTAATATTAATTATATTATATATTGCAGAATTTCATTCATATTATATCATATAGGTCATCAACCATCTCACTGCACAGCATTTTCTCACTGCAACCATGGCATTCTGGGAGTATCCTGCTACCAACGGAGAGTTCTTTGAAATTTTCCTTGGTTATGAATACAAAAGTGATTGCTTGATCCAACTGGGAAAATTTCTGAACATCTTACATCATCCATCCTTGGAACACAACCGGTAACACTGCAGAATGAAGGGTCACCGGGAAACCCGAATGAGTCTTTGCCGTGGAATCCGGTGGACCGTTGGAAACCAATGATGGGGTTTGGACAATTGGACGGCACCTAAATGACAAATTCAAGGAAAGAAACCTCACACTCAAAATTTCACCACACACATAGATATATAATTATATATACACATACTCATAACTATACATTATATTAATATACCCACTTATACTCGTGTTTGCTTTTCCATTGCCCATCATCCTTGCGGTACCAAGCGGTGCCAAACTTCGTCGGCTTGTTTCGCGCCTGGCGCCATGTGCCGATGTCGCCGTCAGCAGATGCATATTGCCAGGGGCCCCAAAGCCTGGGAGGACAGTGGTAATAGCTGGGCTATATCCCCTTCCGTAACTAGTTTAAAAAACATTTGATGAACCATACCAAACTGCACGTTTGGACAAGATAGACACTCTTTGGATGAGGATCCCAGACTACTTTCTTCGGCTCCCAAAAGTAGAATTGATGGCACCCCAAAAGGTTCAGTCCTCCCATTCTTTTTAGCAGGAATTGTTCGAACGTGTTTAGAACCTCCAAGGTGGAGACACTCTTCCTGAACCCCTTCGAAAAGTGGGTCTTCTATGGAAGCGCCTTGGTGAAGATCAAAGCTACCTCTCTGACATGAGGATACATGAGGGAAACAAGTGAATTTTGCAATATCTTGACGTGGTGTTTGGTTTCAATGTTCGATCATGTGTTTTTTAATGGTTGATGTTTATCACAAGAATTAGTTTGTTATCCAAAGTTACTTTCATCTCTTTTTTGGGGCTGGGCTGGAGGCATCCAAAAAATTCAACCATTTCTTTATTCATCATCGCTTTCCATTCAGACTTACGTAAATATGTATATATTACATTTATATATATATTTATAGTATATATGTGTAAATATTCATCCATTTGCTGCATTTTTTGGAAATCTGAGCAAATATGAAGATCGAGGATTTCCTCATCTAAAACAACATCAGTTTCCGCAATGTCCCTGCATTGCAGCTGATTGCAGCTGAGGATTTCCCTGCAAATTCGTTGTGCATTTGATTCTGAGCGTCGTGGTCACGGCTCAGGCCGACTTTGAAAAATCGGGTTTCATGAAACACGGGTTTCGCCGCAAAGGCCCTGTAGTAGTGATATATCTAATGCCTTGTTGGAAACTAGTCTGAAATTATCTGTAGATGAGTATTGGAAATTATTGGAAATGGATATGTTTTTTGGTGCCAGGTTTGTATAGAGGGTGTTCTAGGGATAGTTATATCTCTTTGAAATACTTTGACACATGGATTTTTGAACTATCACAACTATCCAACACAGGGCCGTAGGGAAAGTCTCGAGGAATGTCACATGGCAAGATTCCAAACAATATCGTGCCTAGCTCTGCAGGAATGATCCCAAGCAACCGCTGCTTAAGAGAAACAAGCACGAAGACCTTGGCACCAGCTTGATGATCTTGATGCAAATTGCATAGCTAACAGTATGCTAACAGTCAACGCAAAGACCATTAGCTCCAGAGGAAATCAGCTTTTCTGTTGTGGAAAACGTTTGTTTGACATCCTTACATCATGTTCGTTGCATTCATTGTGCATCATCCAAATATATCCAAATAAATGTCGACCTTGGATCACTGTCGACCTTGGGACCCTTTGATTAGAATTGAGATAGACTTTATCCTTGGATCAATCTCGCCCCTGTTTTATTGGAAGATTCCTCGGTCATTCAGCAACTAGGCCAACGGCTACGGAGAATCGTTCATGGGAAATCATCAAAGAATCAAAATTATACCTGACCCTCTTAAAATTTGACATAGCTGAGGAAAATAGATTGTGTTTTACCTATTAAGGATCGATATTTTTCATGGCTATATTAAATTATCAAAGGGTACATCTTCCAGATCCTACGCTGCTAAACATATTGTGAGTTATTGTGACTAAAAGGATTTATATTACATTTAAAGATAAATAACTATATAATATACAAAATAATTTATATACTGATATATATATATATCATATAAAGCACCTTTTAAAGCATCTTTGTTGTTGGCAGTCCGGGTTTTCTTCCCGGCCAGTGGCCGGGTTCTTTCTTTTTTGAAGGCGGTGATCTACTTTCAGCGGGACATCCAACATGTCTCCAGGAGCCACGCGGGATTGGAGTTGGCATGACTTCCCCAAAGGTTGGTTACCTGGTGAATGGTATTGAATGGTTGGGGGGTGGCTGGTTTTGTTGGGACTCGGGGCAACATAAGATCTGGTTTTGAAGGGTTTGTAAGGTTTGGTTTGTTTATGAGAAACGAGTGTGATAAGCCTGGGCTGAACCTACAAGCACTGATTGCAAGCAGAGACAGGAGTTCATTTGGAAGAGAGTTGCTCAGATGTTAGTAACTGCTTTCAGGAAACAACGCTGCATCCCATTCCTATGTGATATAAGGGTAAGGACCCAACTGCAATTGTAGGGATTTTCCGGCTTCAACGCTTGCTGACAGTCTGGTTCAACGTGAATGGATCACTTAAATTAAACTTAAGTATGTTTTTGCATGTTGGTGCCATTTATGGCAACGATTTCTAAACAGCATGCTCTAACATCAGCAGTGGCAGGACCAATCAACATTTTGTGCAGCTTGGCTGCAGGATCTGTTTTGCGGTGGCCACATGGCCAATGTAGGCCATGTGGGAATTAGCCAAGCCACTAGATACCCCACAACTGCTGGTGGTGTTATGCTCATCATATCCCCCCTATATACTTTTTACCAGAGGATGAACGAAAAACCGGCTACGCGCAAGCAATTTTGTCTTTCAGGGCTTCAGGATTTATATATTTGAGGGTTTGAGGGTTTTAGGGTTTGTTGTTTAAGAGTGCTAGCCCTACGAAGGGATTTGAGCATGCCAAAGGATATGCAGGAAAGGACCAGGGCCAAACGTAGGGATTGCATCGCTGTTTGAAGATCCTCTATACTAACCCCCCCAAAAAAAAAAACATAGTAACTCCAGCAAGGATAGTTGCAAATATGCGTTCTGTTATTTCAACGATCGGTATCATTATCATACACCTATATATATATAAGATCTCGAGAATTCCAGCAACGGCCTTGGGCCTTGGGTTTCTGGTGGACAATCATTCGTGGGTCTGAGGAGCTCAGTCTGTGGGTGATATTCTCCGGTGCTTTTTGTTCATGCACCCTCCAGTCAAGTATAGAAGTCCTTGTAGGTCCGACAGCTATGATGAATTGCATTTGAAAGTAGCAACGCTTTATTGCTACCAAACATGCCTCATGATTTTGAAGGCTTTGGATATATGTCCAGTTCATTGATGTTCACTGTGTTTTTTATGCCTATTCAATGTGAAGTTTGGGCCCCGTCATTGTTTATTTTCCAGATGGTCACTCCTTGATGAGCTGCCCAAGGCACATGTTCACTTCACCTGATCCACTCCATTCACCATATGCCCTCCAAGAGGGCGTTGCTGCACTGATGCTTGGATTGTACTGGTCTGTGTGGTCTCTGACTCAAACCTTCCATGTTGATGAGTCTTGAAGGTTGCTGCGCTCATTTCCTGGCTGCAAAAAAAACACATCCTTCTCCACAGCAACAGTGGAGAAGAAAGAGGGATATCAATGATCATTGGCCAAACATGGTGAAATGGGGCGACTCTCCGTGGCGGAACCCCCAGTGTCATCGCAAGACACTCTCTCATCCATGTGTTGGAGAGGAAGTTCGTGGCAAGGGGCATGATATGGCATGATGTGTGCCATGAAGTGGAATATGGAGCATGCTAAACTTTAATGCCACGAAGCTGCTGCATCTACTTGAAGTGGGGTAAAGCCACGGAAAAAACAATAACCTCCATTTTGGGGGATGATTTTGGATGGTTTTTTCAAGCCATTCTCGTAGCCCCCTTTTTTTGTGCCCGGGATTATGCCGGTATATGCCGGTCACAGCTGTGGGGCAAAGACTTGTCTTATGCCGAGTATACCGAATACCCTCTCGAAAGCAAACATGGACACATCAAATTCAACCATACCATTTATTTATATATATAGTTACAAATATATATATATATGAAATTTGAATATTGAAATGTTATGATCTCTGGATCCGTGATCCACGGTCACTATATATGTCCAACTGACTGAGTTCACCAGAGATCCCGAGGATCACCAACCACTTTCTGATCAACAACCGTTCCATCGTCAGATACCAACTCCAGCACCCCGCGCCTCGGCCGCGGCTGGCCGGGTGCCAGGTTGGGGCCAGCTTGGCTGGGGTCAAAACATGTCAAAACCTTGGTGCAGCCCGGTGAACCGCAAAAATGCGGGGTAAATATATATATATATACATGGGTATATAAATGACTATACATGGTGGGTATATAAATGGCGTAAAATAAACATAAATAAACCATCCTTCAAAATCTTGCGAGGATTTTATTTTATATTGATCCGTATGCCGAAAGATCTGAAAGGGATCCTTCGGTGCTGGAATCGTTTCGTTGCTCATCGCGAGGATCAGATGACTCTCTACTTGGGTTATCGCAATGATGAAAGGCTCTCTGCGGGCGGTGGCACAGATTCGGGGTATCATACGGAGAGTTTCAAAAGTCATGCCCAGATTAGTGGGAATCGTTAAAAATAGCACGATTTTTGTAAATTGCATAGGAAATGCATGATTTTCCGGTTTTCATGCTTGGATTTATGATTCTTTACAAATCCAGCGTTGAGGTGGTGTTTGGCATGTCAGTTGAAAACTTCACATCTGAGTTACTTAAGACTTGGTCGTTGCATTTACAGTAGGTTGTGTTTTGATCAATTTCATACTTCAAGAAGGGAAATCATCAACAAACGGCATTATTTCAGCCATTTTGAGTTTGGTGACTTCTTTTATATTGCACTATTATAATTCGGCAAGATGAATGAACGACTAATAACAAGCTATTTGAACCGACCAGCATAATTAAGGGGTTTCTATTATTCGTTTTGTTGCTGTTGCTGAATAGCGTTCCTGGAAATGTATCTGAGTGTTGTTTTTGTTCTCCCTGAATTCGTAAGAGGAAAAACTTGCTGTTTTTGCCATCCAACAATTCAGGAAGGAAGCGTGTCCTGTCGATTGCTTGGCATGAAATAAATAGTGAAAGCACAGGGCCGCGTACTTCTGTGTGCGTGTGTCCACTTATTGCCTACATCAAAGAGAACATGATTCCATGAGGCCTACATTTCTTTTGCATGAGTTAAACTAAATCAACGTAACATGACGTAACATAAACATAAATATGAATAAATGAACAATGAAATGAATATATAAAAAACAAATAGATAAAAATACAGCATTAAAAACAACAAAACAATAGATGAATGAATGAACGGGTGGATGAATGAAAGAAAGAAAGAAAGAATGAATGAATGAATGAATGAAATGACATTGAATGAATGAATGAAATTGATTGATTGAATGATTGAATGACCGAATAAATGAATGAATTTAATATAATATAATATTATATTATATTTAATGAAATATAATTTAATATAATATAATATTATATATAATTTAACATAACATAATATAATATAATATAATATAGTATAATATAGTATATAATATAATATAGTATAATATAGTATATAATATAACATAACATATTATAATATAATATAGTATAATTACATATATATATATATATATATATATATGCATTTTAGTTGGTAATAGTTTATACTATTTTATTCATTATATTCTATACATTGCATAATTTTATATATACGTGGGACCCAAAAGAACCGTTTTCTTTTGACTCCATTTCAATCAAGTAGAGTACATCAATTATTGCCCCTTGTTTTGGGTATGTTTTGCAATTGTGGTTTTCTCCAAGTCATTTCGGTGCCCGAAAAAAACACCTAAACCTTCAACACAATCATCGCGCAGGGGAGAAGTTAAGGTGAATGCCTCCCAGTGGATTTCCAGCCGCGTGGCCATATGGATGGATGAAAATGGCCATGTCAGGGATTGGATGGGCGTAGCATGGCGGATGTCAACATTGGGATAATCTGTTTGTTGGATTCTGTACATGGAGGATCTGGGATATCCATTTGAAACCTTGGGTTCCGCCAAAATTGTGAGCTGGTCAGGTCATTCAGAGGATGGGGTTCCAACCGGTTCAGGGTTCGTTTGTGCACGTCAAAAGTGGGTCGTTTGTGCACGTCAGACGGTTGGTCGTCTGTGCACGTTTTTGTTGTGTGTTTTTGTCATTGTATCTCTGCAACATGATTCTTCATCTAGCTTTTTTTTCAACATCTCAAGAGAGCTGCTTTCGTGTGCCATTTGGTGGAGCTGCTTTCGTGTTCTCTCACTGAAGTTCACCCAAGTTCTTTCACAGAACTCATCTCACAACTCACACAACTCATCTCACACAACTCCACTCATCTCACAACTCACAGAACTCATCTCACACCACTCCGCTCATCTTACAACTCACACAACTCCTCTCATCTCACAAGTCACACAACTCATCTCACACAACTCATCTCTCACAACTCATCTTACACAACTCAACTCACTCAAGAGCTGCTTTCGTGTGCCATTTGGTGGAGCTGCTTTCGTGTTCTCTCACTGAAGTTCACCCAAGTTCTTTCACAGAACTCATCTCACAACTCACACAACTCATCTCACACAACTCCACTCATCTCACAACTCACAGAACTCATCTCACACCACTCCGCTCATCTTACAACTCACACAACTCCTCTCATCTCACAAGTCACACAACTCATCTCACACAACTCATCTCTCACAACTCATCTTACACAACTCAACTCACTCAAGAGCTGCTTTCGTGTGCCATTTGGTGGAGCTGCTTTCGTGTTCTCTCACTGAAGTTCACCCAAGTTCTTTCACACAACTCATCTCACAACTCACACAACTCATCTCACACAACTCCACTCATCTCACAACTCACAGAACTCATCTCACACCACTCCGCTCATCTTACAACTCACACAACTCCTCTCATCTCACAAGTCACACAACTCATCTCACACAACTCATCTCTCACAACTCATCTTACACAACTCAACTCACTCAAGAGCTGCTTTCGTGTGCCATTTGGTGGAGCTGCTTTCGTGTTCTCTCACTGAAGTTCACCCAAGTTCTTTCACAGAACTCATCTCACAACTCACACAACTCATCCCACACAACTCCTCTCATCTCACAAGTCACAGAACTCGTCTCACACCACTCCACTCATCTCACAACTCACACTACTCGTCTCATCTCACAAGTCACACAACTCATCTCACACAACTCATCTCTCACAACTCATCTTACACAACTCAACTCACTCAAGAGCTGCTTTCGTGTGCCATTTGGTGGAGCTGCTTTCGTGTTCTCTCACTGAAGTTCACCCAAGTTCTTTCACACAATTCAATCTCACTCAAGAGCTGCTTTCGTGTGCCATTTGGTGGAGCTGCTTTCGTGTTCTCTCACTGAAGTTCACCCAAGTTCTTTCACAGAACTCATCTCACAACTCACACAACTCATCCCACACAACTCCTCTCATCTCACAAGTCACAGAACTCGTCTCAGACCACTCCACTCATCTCACAACTCACACTACTCGTCTCATCTCACAAGTCACACAACTCATCTCACACAACTCCTCTCTCACAACTCATCTTACACAACTCAACTCACTCAAGAGCTGCTTTCGTGTGCCATTTGGTGGAGCTGCTTTCGTGTTCTCTCACTGAAGTTCACCCAAGTTCTTTCACACAACTCATCTCACATGAAAGAGCAGTGCGAGGAAATGCTCTACAGCAAGAAAGATGATGAGGTTGCTGTGCGTGTGCAGGCATAGGAACATGAACCTTATTAACTCACCCCACCCCACCGGTAACTGATCATGAAAGAGCTGTGCCTGTCTCTGCTCTACGGGAAGAAAGATGATGAGGTTGCTGTGCCTGTGTGTGCATAGGAACATGAACGTTATCATCCCACCCCACCCCACCCCACCCCCCCACCCCAAGGGTAACTGATCATGAAAGAGCAGTGCGTGTAAGTGCTCTACAGCAAGAAAGATGATGAGGTTGCTGTGCGTGTGTCGGCATAGGAACATGAACCTTATTAACTCACCCCACCCCACCGGTAACTGATCATGAAAGAGCTGTGCCTGTCTCTGCTCTACGGGAAGAAAGATGATGAGGTTGCTGTGCCTGTGTGTGCATAGGAACATGAACGTTATCATCCCACCCCACCCCACGGGTAACTGATCATGAAAGAGCAGTGCGTGTAAGTGCTCTACAGCAAGAAAGATGATGAGGTTGCTGTGCGTCTGTATGCATAGGAACATGAACCTTATTAACTCACCCCACCCCACCGGTAACTGATCATGAAAGAGCTGTGCCTGTCTCTGCTCTACGGGAAGAAAGATGATGAGGTTGCAGTGCCTGTGTGTGCATAGGAACATGAACGTTATCATCCCACCCCCCCACCCCACCCCACCCCCCCCATGTTTTTGTTTCGACCTAATACCTACATAGGTACATGCATGAGTATTGAGCACATTTATATGCGCCTTCAAGGCTCAAGAAAGAGGTATATAGAGTAACCCTGTAGACAAGCACTGACCGGCAACAGGCTGAGAGTAAAAGAGTGCTGTCATTGGGGAAGACGCCTTAGCTGATCTTGAAGTAGACGCTAGGGCCCCTCTTCAAGTGGTAGCGGAGCAGTGATCCCTCATTGAGGGTGAGCTCCAGGTAGAGCCCAAGAAATGGCAAGCCATGGCTATGATGATGATGACTTCGACATTGTCGATGCAAATTGAATGGAACCAATATGACTCTTATGCAATGAGAAGAGCACCCCAGCATACACAGATTCATATGACGCAACAGATGACTACAAAGGTTGCTCCAGCCTATGATGGGCGAACCAGCTTCTTTGCTTTTGAGGATGCAATTGATGACTGGTGTGACATTACGGAGTTAGAACCAGAGAAACGTGGTCCAGCATTGCGCAACAGACTGGAAGGAGATGCTCAACAATACAAGAGGCTATTGGATAGAGAACTACTCAGGGATCCCCATGAAGGAGTGCACTATTTCAAAAGATTTCTACGACCTCATTTCATCAAAGGTGCCCAGAACGTGTTCTTATACCGTTTCATGCAGTTCATGAAGTTCAACAGAGGAACCATGGATCTTCAGAAGTGGATGACTAGATTTCAACTCACTGGCAATAGACTTATTGAGTCTTGGATGGATTTACTTCCAGAAGTAACAGTGACTAGTCCTGAAGCAATCCTGTTTGTTCAACAACGACGTCAAGAACATGAACGAGATCAACAAGAGAGAGCTGAAGTAGCAGCAGCCTCAGGAACACCCCATGTAGCTGTTCATTGGACAGATGAACTGGCACTAGCGGCATTCAGACAATTTCAGGAAAATCGTAGAGAAGCACAGCGACAAGCATTCCCACTGGGTGAAAATTTGCTAGCATTGATTTTTGTAAGTCTAGCTGACCTGAGTCAAGATCAGAGAAACACACTCACAAGTATCATGACACATCGTGGACGAACCCTCGATCGATACAGTATTCAAGAACTACGTGACCTGTTTTTGGAAATGTTTTGCACTACC